CCAAGTCTGACCACCCAATCCTTTGTCATAATTCATATTTATTGATTTTTTTTCAACAGAAATGTTCAGATTAACTACGTTCATTAACTAAGACACTGGTGTTTCACACTTGCAGACTCACTCACATCACTCAAAATATACGAAACAAAAATGTTAGTGATCAAAAATATTTTTGGGGATATTTTTAGAATATTGTGTGCACATTTTTGTCTACTATAAAATATCCCCAGAGTATTATAAAATATCCCTAAAGTATTCATGATCCCTTTCAAAAAAAGTTTGGGACCATGAATATTTTAATTATTTTTTCAGAAATTGTGTGTTCAGTCTTTACTACAAAAAAAGGTATCCCCAAAATATTCATATTCCATAACCCTACTTGTTCAATACATATAAATTGTTTTAAAATGACAATTAAAACATCATCAAGTAAAGGTAAATGGCTAAACATCATCATATGAACAAAGCAGTGAAAAGTAACCTGAACCATCACCAGTCAAAGAGTGACAACACAGCTGGACATCCCCTTAAGAATTGGTCATTTATTATGGCGGTGCTTTTGAAATTTGACGCTTCAAGGAAGAGTCATGAAAAAAAGGTACAAGGACATAGCTTGGGTCACCAAAAATATGGTGATTGACATCATGAGCACACAACTGGGATACAATGATGTACATCAACCAAGTGATATTGAAATATTGAAACCCATGAAGATCCAGATTAGAATGGGTCTTCAGCAACCCATGCATGCTGTAAGACAACTGTACTTGTCGTAAGAGGTTTAACGGGACAGGGTGGTCAGGCTCGCTGACTTGGTTGATGCTCGTGATGTCAATCCCTGGATTGTCTGGTCAAGACTCGATTATTTACAGACCGCCGTCATATAGCTGGAATATTGCTGAGTCAGCACTAAACAACAAACCAAGAAACTTAAAATTTGCCTCCTGTGAAACAAGGAAACAATGCCAGGTCTGACACTGGCTGACAAGGGCTCCATGACATGAGGTAGTTTTGTACTCATTACAGCTGTCTGCATGAACACAAGTGCAAGCAATGACCTTCTGCTTTACATTACCATGACAACGGCTGTGGTCCCTGCAAAATGGACTACAAGACAATCTCATGCAAATCAGATATTTTACTCCCACACCTCGGCTTGAAGATCTGACAACCCATCCATTGGTCGTGTCAGCTGAACCCTGCGAACCGCCCAATCTACATCAAGGATGCTTGGGTTCTTGAGCCAATCAGATGTCAGCTTTCAAAAATGATTTGTCTTCCATTTCTTTTACAACCTTGATTTGGAATTTTTTATTTAAAAATAAAATATGATAACACAAATATTCTATGATGCTATGATTCTAAAGATGCTATGATACTCTGAAATAACAAGCTGTATAAAATATCCTCAACTTAACGGTGTGGCCTTTATTAGTCACATTCGGAACTGTTTTTTTCTTTTCGTTTCCAGGATACAGAAAAAAGACATGCTTGTCTGATTACTTTGCCCACTGATGATTCAGAAGCCTCCACACTGATTAGCTGATTAGAGAGTTCACCCAATGCAACCTTTGTCAGGGTTATCAGAGTGAGTGAGAGAGTTAAATTTAACGTCACATCGGCAATATCAGGGCAGAGCTACAGATAAGCAGTGTATTTGCGTAAAATACCCCCCCCAAATATTCAAAACCCAATTACTTTCAATTAACTTGCGTACAGAAATGCATGCATTAAATAAAAATCTCAAATGTCTACAAACAGCTTGCGTAAATACCCAATGAAGCTTTTCCAGCATGTGTACAAAGAGGATAACTTCAGAGAAACAATTACGAGCTAATTTACTTTCTGAGCCAAGCCTATATACTTAGAACAGTTATATACATCTAAAACATCATTGAATTTCTTTTAAATCTTAAAATGTTCACTAATAATAAACCCAATAGAGTGATGAATAGAGGAGTGAAAAAATATTGGGTACCCAATGAAAAATGTAATAACCCAATTAAAACAAAAACCCTGGAGTAAAAACTCAAGTGCTCAAAAAGTTATCTGGAGCTCTGGGCCCTGTTCCACAAAGCGAGCTTAGTGCTATGACTGTCGTAAGCCTATGTTAAAGTATGGGAGTTACGATCATCTTAGCGCTAAGATCGTTTTGTGGAACGGGGCTCTGATCAGGGTTATCAGATCTTGACAGAGTAATATCAGAGTAAAAGATCTGATTTTAATGAGACTGGAATACAAGACAGATAATTTCCTTGCCCACATGGAATAAATTTCTGCTACAGTGAGTGAGTGAGTTTGGTTTAACGACGCTTTTAACAGTATTCCAGTTATATCAAGGCATGTCAGCTTAATGTGGGAGGAAAGCCCGAAGTGATGCAGGTCTCATACGTTTACCCCTTCGGTGAAACCCACGAGCACGGTATGGTGCAGACAAACCTAGAAACATAATCGGGGCGAACCAGGATTCGAACCCACAGTCATAGGTTTCTGGCGTGCCCAGACTCTGCACAGCAAATCGCGGCGCCTTAGACGACTGGGCCACCCGTGCCCCCAATTTCTGTTACAAACCAAAGCATAAAATGACCTAAACGTTGTTCAACCAATCAATACATGTGAGCAGATCGTAGATAGAGTTGAACCAAGTTGTCTGTGGCAGTGTATATGATATGTTTAATGTATCATAACAGAGAGGTATCTCCAAGGAAGGCCATACGTTCTTGATTTTAACAAAGCAGCTTGAGGCATCATCAGTTTTAACAAATACTAAATTGCAGGATAATTGGTATTTGTACAGTAGCATGGGCTAATCTACTCTTTAAAACAAGTAATTTACCGTCATGACAGCAGTAAAAAGAAAATCTTGAATATCAAACTTCTGTTTCAGGAGGAATGAAATAATTGTTATATTATTCAAAGAATGTACTGTTTTTTATAAACAGTATTCTGCAATGAAAGACAAAATGAACTGATTTTTATGCATTGAAACACAAAATATTCTTGAGCTTCTAGTGACATTAGCTCAAAGAGAATGCCAATCAGAAATTTAGTAGCTCATATCTCTAGGTACATGTGGCATACCTACTTTGTGGAAACCCCATATCTTAAAACAAACTGGTTACAATTTTGAGCCACAAATACCGTATTTGATGTAATAAGCGCCCAGGGTGCTCTCAAAATTAGAAATAGGGGGCTCTCATTAGAATATTATTTTGGTGGAAAAAACAGAGTTGAAAGATAAATTTCGTAGTTTATGCTGAAGGTCTGAACTGCTTATATAGACAGATATATTTTTCCAGAATTTAATTGCCCATAATTAAGGGCGCATATAACACATGAGTGCGTATTATACACGAATAAATAAGTCTTGTGTACATTGATCAATTGGAAGGGATTCTAATTGGGATTGTCCACTTGCCAATATATTAGCAAATATCGCCGTGGGTGCTTATTACGTGGAATACAGTATGTCAACTGTTTGTCCATGTTTACCTTTCAGATGTGACTTTAAACAGATTCTATGGTTGGGTTATTAATCTGTTTACTAACACAACCATACGTTCCAATACTGAACCAATTGTTTAGGCACAGGCTGTGGTGACATCTAAACACTGTACAAGTTGTCTATAACAAAGACTGTTTCTCTACTAGTGGAACTAATCATGACATAGACTATATACAGGGAGGTTTTCCATTACGGCCACAACAAATTAACTTTTGTTCAGAATGTCCCAATCCTCTATCACAATTTGTTTTTGTTTTTTGGGGGGGCGGGACTGATTTTCTGATAATGAGCAGTTTATCAGACTAAACATCTTCAATACTTCATTGGCATGTAGAGATGACATACGTTCATCACCATGAATTCATACAACTGCTTTTCAATGCAGTCGCTATTTTTAACCAACAAATCAAAAGGTAACCTAGTTCCAACGAGATGAAAACCAATGAGTGCTCAGTATACATCGCTTACAGCATGTACTCAGACCAATGAGAGCTCAGTTAACATAAAAAACAGCACCGTTTTCGGCCTGACATCACGCACAGTATGAACCATAGCCTAGTGGTATCTGCTCTACACCTTGCTTCAAGGCAATGGTAGGGTCAGCGTAAATCTCACGTACATGTCAGTGAGTGAGTGAGTGAGTGAGTGAGTTGGGTTTAACACCGCTTTTAACAGTATTCCAGTTATATCGCGGCGTGTCAGCTTAATGTGGGAGGAAAGCCCGAAATGATGCAGGTCTCAGACGTTTACCACTTCGGTGACACCCACGAGCACGGGTATGGTGCTGACAAACCTAGAAACATAATCGGGGCGAACCGGGATTTGAACCCACAATCATAGGTTTCTGGCGTGCCCAAGGGACGCAACTCTGCACAGCACATTGCGGCGCCTGAGACGACTGGGCCACCCGTGCCCCCTGTACGTGTCAGGTCTCAGCTGACTTATTGTGAGTATACACAGCCTAATTTCATAAGTTGAGTAAAAAAAGACACACATTACCATCACACATCCATATGAAGAGATTTCTCCAGACCTGCCAAGTCTGCAGCCAATGTCAGTGCAACTACCACACTGGAATCACAAACTTCCCAATTCATGTAGTTCTAGTTATAATCAATGCTATGGCCGACGTATTGCTGACTTGTATTTCACTGATAACAGAACCAATAAAAAGGATAGAAAAGGCTTTAGCCCTAGTTTAACACTATTGCATTGACTGCAAAGTTAAAATACCTCCCAATTTAAGAAGAAGAAAAAATTAACAAAAATCCCAGTTGGCCTGTCAAAGGGCACTTAGTTTGGAATTCCAAGGTGAATCCCTGGTGTGTATTCATGGGTATTGAAGGAACGTCGTGTATACAAATCTGTGAAATATTGGTGATTCATACTAAGGTACAATAACTCTCATCTTGCAAAGGCTTAAAAAAGTAAAAGAATTGGTTCTCGGGCAATGGTTTTTGAAAATGTAGTGCGGGCGGGCGGTGTCTTTTTTGGGGGGGGGGGGGAATGGGTTGTACAAACTTGTATGTAACCAAAAAGGGCCTCCCTACATAAATGTATTCCTTGATACCGGTACTGGAATACAAGTTGGACTTGGAATATTTACGGATTTTTTATACATATATTTTTAATAATTGAAATATAAACAAAACGTGCGACGAACTTAATGATGATGCGGGCGGTGCCTGAGAACCAAGGCTATCATTTTTTTTAGCCATATATAAATGAATATTAAGAAAGACAGAGCCACAGGTTACTCTTCTCTCAGTCTTGAAAATCACTGCTATTCTTTTATATTCAATTAATTTATGAAACATCAACACAATTTCAACAATGAAATTTTCAACCATTTCAAAGCAATAAAAGTCATTAAAAATATAAAATATTCATTCTAATTTTTTTCCAAAAGATCCAGAGAGGAAATTTGTTGTTGGCTAGTGAAAATCTTCATTACCACAGCTCTGGGTTGAGCAGCCCCAGTGCACCCCCCACCAAGTGCATGCTCCCCGTGACTAATATCTGTATGTGAGCGCTGCCTTGCAGCTTGTCTGATACTGGAGGAATGTCTACATCAGCAGGCAGCTTGACCGTGGTGTCGCGCCCCTGCCCCGCCCAAAACAACGCCTGGAGGATACAAGGGAAGGCATGGGACTCGGCACTGCCCTCCGAGGGGAGGTCTTTGGAATTGCAGTTGTTACTGTTGAGATCAATCTGGTCGGAATTCAACGCCCCATTGTGCAGTGCAGAGTCGATGAGCTCAGGGTTATCGCTTGTGGAGTTGTGGCTAGATGCCGGTGGTACGTCTTTACTGTGAGCGTTGATGTGGTCCCAGATTTCCTTATTGACCAGCGAGTAGTTGAGCTGTTTTTCTTTGGTGACGGTTCTGTTTATTTGGTCTGGAAGGGAAAAAGGAAGGGTTAAGTTTAAGTTATGATGATGACAACGACAACAACAAGAAGAAACAAACAACACCACCAATAAGAAGAAGAAGAAGAAGAAGAGGAAGAAGAAGAAGAAGAAGAAGAAGAACGATACACCAACTGTGCAATCTGATACGTATCACGATACTTGTATGTACTCGTATCTGTAGTTTAGTAACCCATATTTTTTATGGACAGGATATTCAAATATCTGACACACTGATGTTTACAGTTGGCAGTGTCAAGTATGGCGCAATTGATGAAAATATTTAATTTTTCACTACTAATGAGTGTTTGGTGTAACATTTATAAAAGAATACATTTAAGGTAAGAATCTAGCTATTTTCTTACTATGCAACTGTGATTGATACTTGTATATGGATGTGAAATATTGTGATCCACTGATGCATCAGTGTATCGTTCCACCACTGCCGTGTATCCTATCTTGTTTGATCATGAAATACCGGTATACCCTTGACCCATTAGCCACCGTAGAGGCGCCACTGCAGACAATTACTGGCCCTGAAGGGATTCCATCCATGGTTCCCCGATGTAAAATATCCATGGTTACCCGATGTAAAATATCCATGGTTAACCGATGTAAAATATCCATGGTTACCCGATGTAAAATATCCATGGTTACCCGATGTAAAATATCCATGGTTACCCGATGTAAAATATCCATTGTTACCCGATGTAAAATATCCATGGTTACCCGATGTAAAATATTCATGGTTACCCGATGTAAAATATCCATGGTTACCCGATGTAAAATATTTATGGTTACCCGATGTAAAATATTTATGGTTACCCGATGTATAATATCCATGGTTACCCGATGTAAAATATTCATGGTTACCCGATGTAAAATATCCATGGTTAACCGATGTAAAATATCCATGATTACCCGATGTAAAATATCCATTGTTACCCGATGTAAAATATCCATGGTTATCCGACGTAAAATATCTCACCCTATCTGCATACAAATGAGAATGCATTATGAGCTCTGTAGGAAGCACAAAAAGTATGACTGTTTGAATCACAAAGTTTATCAAACATATAGATTGTACATTTCATGTAATCAACATATGTGTGCTGGTAAGAAAATACACTCAAAGTTTAGTTTGTGGGTTTGTTTGTTGTTTAAAGCTGCACTCAGCAATATTCTAGCTGTATGATGGCGGTCTGTAAATAATGGAATCTGGACCAGACAATCCAGTGATTGTATCAAGACCATTGATCCATGCAATTGGGATACACTGACATGCATCAACAACATCAGTGAGCCTGACCAACCGATCCTGTTAGTCACCTCTTACGACGGGCACTGGTGCCTGAAGACCTATTCTAGTCCAGGTCCCACTTGCGCAAAGTGATCTTAGTGCTAAGATGATCGTAACTCCCATACTTTAACATAGGCTTACAATAGTCGTAGCACTAAGATCGCTTTGTGCAAGTGGGCCCAGGTCTAAAATGTCACTGGTCCATTTTCTTCAGTCTAACAATGAAGCCCCCTTCCATCATAGGCATAAAGATTCTGAGCATGTGACATGACATCACCAACATTCTTGGAGATCGAGTGATTGGTGCCACATGTCGGCATCGGGGACCCCTTTTTCACTCAGGTGTGTTGAGGCGAAATTGGGTTTTACTATGCGTATATGGTTATTTCATCAATATTGTTACAAACATGCATGTGTGTGTGGCTCCTTGGACTAGCCTGGACTAGAGCTGGTTTTGTAGTGCTATACCATGAGATGCTGTTCCAATGTTTAACATGGATTTCCCACCTTATACTGAATACAAGATGAACAGTCCTTATTTTGCCCCCTTAATACTAAGTGTCAGGAACGGTAACAAGTTCTATCTTTTAACGTCTGTAGGCACGAAGTGTGTGTGTGTGGGGAGGGGGGGAGAGAGGGGGATTGAACCACAGACTTTCCTCTCTCTGGTTATCACTGAGAGTCCCTGGAAATAGATAGACCAATGTAGATCTCTGTCCACCCTATTCAGGAAAATATCCTCCCAAAGACAGGCACTCATTGACCTGTGAAAGTCAGATGAAGAAACACCTCACCTGGTGCGTTGCCCACGTTTCCTGTGAAGGCCAAGTTTGGACAAAACACTGCAGCATCAAAATTCAAAGGCTGAAAATAAAATAAAATACAGAATAATTCAGTAATTGTTAGGGTCTGGTACAGACAAACCAATGATTGATGTTATGAATGAGGGAAGATGACAATCAACCAAAACACAAAACCTGAACACTTGATCTTATGTTGTTTTTTTTCCCGTCTGTTCTTTAACGCCACAGTCAGCATTATATGACAGTGGTCTGTAAATAATCAATTCTGTACCAGACAATCCAGTGGCTGACATGCGCATCCATCCACGCAACTAAGATACAATGACATGCATCAACCAAGTCAGCGAGCCTGACCACGCGATCCCGTTAGTCGCCTCTTACGACAAGCATTACGACAAGAATGGGTTGCTGAAGACCAGTTGTAACCCGGATCTTCTCGGGTCTGGTCTGATCTGATGTATTTGCTTCTAGCAACATGAACAGGTCACAGAAGTCAGAGATCCAGAGTTTACCAAATACTGTGTACTGTAAGCCATGTACAATCTGGTTTGAGATGAGAGATTTGCAGAGTGTTGATTTATGACGAAAACACTGCCCAAAGGGAGATAAGGCTGTATGTTAGATAACTGGCACCCACGCACAATTTCTGGTAGAGATGGTTTTGTGGCAAAATGTCTCACCTTTAATATTGACAACAATGCTGTGGAGTTGCGATCTCGGGTTGCATTGAAGACTAGAATACGACAAACTCGCCCTCTGTCAGAACAAGAAACTCAGTTAGACACCCAAACCAGACTCATTACAATTTTCAAATGAAGAATGTTGATTTCAAGCTTATGGGTAAGAGAAATTCTGTGCTTGGAGATAAGAAAGATGAAGTTGGGGAAATCTCTTCGAATTTAGTTAGCTTTTACCTTGCTTTTATCAAAATATTTTAACAATATCATGGAAAGGGACAACAGATATTGCTTCACACATTGTACCCATGTGGGTAATCAAATACGGTTCTTGGGGGTGACGAGTGAACGCATTAACCACTGGGCTACCCCACTGCCCTTTCTGAAATAAAGCTATCATGGTAAGGGTATGGATCATAATAGAATAGAGATGCAATACACTGGATTATCAAGGATGACAAACAATTGAGGCCCTTCGAAAATGGTAAACACAAACTTTATATCAATGGTCCATTTGCATCAAGTATACTCGGTTCCAATGCAATTAATTCCCATATTTCTTGCAATTTCTAAGGATGTTCCTCTGTGTGAACTGTTTGATGTTCTAAAAAAAATGACCCCATGAGTTGGCATCTTTTGTGAAACCTTTTCTTATTTCAAGAATATTTAAATAAAAATAACAAAATGTGGTATAAAGGCAACGATATCCATGTACATAAGTGCATGAATAATTTGTTAAGTTTTTTATTCATATCTCTATTATTGCAGCACGCAGCACTCAGCAATGGTCTAGCTGCATCATGCAGGCCTCTAAGTGATCAAATCTGTCGGCCATTGATCCATTCACTTGGAGTCAACTCACTTGTGTTTAGAGGCTTCTTTCTTGGATGCTTGCTGGAACCATTCCATACACTGCTGCTGGCAGAGAACATGGCACATGAGTGAGTGAGTGAGTACGGCCTTACGCTGCTTTTAGCAATATTCCAGCAATATCATGGCACAGGGTTAGAAACTAAGTTTTTGTCCACTAGTCGTTATAATGATAACATATAGCAAAACCCTTAAAATGGGCCAATTTCTACTAGTCCTTAGGATACCTTTACTATTGGGCAGTTTGGTAAGGACTACAGGACTAGTGCCAATTTCTAACGCTGTGGCAAGGGACACCTTGGGCTTCACACATTGTACCCATGTCAGGAATCGAACCCAGGTCATCATCGTGACGAGCAAACGCTTTAACCACTAGCCTACCCGACCGCCCCTTTGGCACATGAACATCATTGTCACTACCAAATGGGCATATAATTAAATTATGCAGATTCACACAGTTTGCACATCGGTTTTTCGATTCATACCTCAATGAACCGAAAGAAATACAAAGTCAATCGTTAAGTATACACTACGTTCGTCCGTCACACATGAATACATGAGGCCCATATGCAGTGTAGCGACACAAAACAAGAAACACGAACTGCACAACAATATTTGTAACAGGCACTTAGTAATGATGAAGACCGGATTAACTGATGGATTACAAGTTATTGTTCATTCTTTAATGTGATTTATCATCCAAATCTGGCTCCCACAGGAGATATCGCTTGGATGAGTCAAGCGATATTTACACTGTAGATATCGCTGCAATGAAATTACATCACAATGCTTTGCAGACCATTGTGACATTACTGGTTACCATGACATCACAATCAAATGACATCACTAATGGCTCTGCTACTGAAGCTGTTTGCAGTACTTTTTACACTGAAGACACTGCTAATTACTGTCTACAAATTGAAAAAGCTGAAAGAACGATGTTGGAAGATAAATAAAATCTCACCCTCGTGTCTTTTGATATCAAATATATCAACACTCGTAGATAAAAGTGGCAAAAATCCTCGGCAAGCGTCAGAATTTTCCCACTTTTATCAACTCGTGTTGACATATAATTGATATCAAAAGACACGAGGGTGAGATTCTCTATATATGTAGTTAACTTTTTAAAAAATTCTAAAATGTTGACACAATGTGAACATGGTGAAATAAAGTGGAAACTACAGATAAGGGAGGAGAATGAAAGACTGCGTGTATACTATAAATGACAAGACAATGGTCAAGCTGTTGTTTTGGACATTATTTTGCTCCTATGAGGAGCAAGTTTCTGGGTGAAGTTCTTTTCTGAATCTACACGACCTCCAACTACCACCTTGGTAACTCTGTGGCAGATTGGTTGGTTGGTTGGTTTGTTTGTTGTTTAACGCCGCACTCAGCAGTATTCCAGCTATATGACGGCGGTCTGTAAATAATCGAGTCTGGACCAGACAATCCAGTGATTGACATCATGAGCATCAATCCACGCAATGGGGATCGATGACATGCATCAACCAAGTCGGCGAACCTGACCACCCGATCCCGTCAGTCGCCTTTTACGACAAGCATAGTCACATTTTACGGCAAGCATGGGTTGCTGAAGACCTATTCTACCCCGGAATCTTCACATTGTTTTTGGAGATAAGAAAACAACAACAACAACGAATATCCAACCCTGTCTACAACTCACCTGTATGCTCTCAATGGTGTGAGCTCCATCCATGTAATATGTCACACCAGGTCGACTCAAAATCTGGTTACGGCCAGGCCAGTAGCACTTGGACAAACCTGATACAACATGGAACATGGAGAATATATCTATATGGACCAAGCCTATAATACCTCACAGTACACACAGTACAGGGAAGACACAATTGTCACATCCAACTTGTCCGCAGTTCATTCAGACAAGTGACTATGCAAAATAATTAAATCTCTGGACATAATAACTGGTCCCTCTAGATTTTCACTGGTCTTGGGACTAGTGGCCATGTTTATCCCTGCAGTAATGTTAACCTCCACAACACACACCAGTCAGTTTACCCAGTTGCCAAGGGTTGGTTGGTTGTTTTGTTGTTTATCATCGCACTCAGCAATATTACAGCTATATGACGGCGGTCTGTAAATAATCGAGTCTGGACCAGACAATCCAGTGATTGATAGCATGACCTTCGATCCCCGCAATTGGGATCGATGACATGCTTCAACCAAGTCAGCGAGCCTGACCACCCGATCCCGTTAGTCGCCTCTTACGACAAGTATAGTCACTTTTTAAGGCATGGGTTGCTGAAGATCTATTTTACCCCGGATCTTCATGGGTCTGTTGCCAATGGAGGTAATCATGCATCATGGTTACATGTTGCTATTCTTACACCATGTAACCAGTAAAGTGTTAGTATTACCTGCAAAATCAGAAGCAGCCATCCCCATGTCTTCCTGAATGCCTCAAAACGTTCCCATCCCCCTAACAGTGAATTGAAAGTGTAGCACGTGCCACAAGCAGGGGGAGACAACTCTTGATCTTAACGTTGGCAGGTATTTAAGAAGATATCATGTAGTGTAAAATTCAGTACATGCTACTAACCATTCCTCATTTCTTCTGTGAGGACTGTGCTATCCAATTTTGGAATCTTTTCCCATTCATGGAGTTCCGACTGATCACAAATCCACTTTCTCTTTGATAAATCTGAAAAAAGATTTCAACAAGGTGATGTGTCGGAAAGCTGTGTAAAAAATTCAAAATGAATGTTGGTTTGGGAAAATAGACACTGATGCTAGATTAATAATCAATCGTGTGAAACAAATAGAAAATAATCAATAAAGAATTCCTTCCTTGTATTGGAATAACAATAAAAACAAGATACCAAAGCTCTTTATGATATTTACTTTTCTCATAAACACATCAACAAGGAGTGCTAGGGCCATATTCTTCCCCCAGTCCCAAGGGGCGCTGGGGACACATTCTACCCCCAGTCCCAAGGGGTGCTGGGGACACATTCTACCCCCAGTCCCAAGGGGTGCTGGGGACACATTCTTCCCCCAGTCCCAAGGGGTGCTGGGGACACATTCTTCCCCTAGTCCCAAGGGGTACTGGGGACACATTCTACCCCCAGTCCCAAGGGGTGCTGGGGACATATTCTTCCCCCAGTCCCAAGGGGTTCTGGGGACATATTCTTCCCCCAGTCCCAAGGGGTGCTGGGGACATATTCTTCCCCCAGTCCCAAGGGGTGCTGGGGACATATTCTACCCCTAGTCCCAAGGGGTTCTGGGGACACATTCTACCCCCTGTCACATGGGATACTGGGGACACATTCTACCCCCAGTCTCAAGGGGTGCTGGGGACACATTCTACCCCCAGTCCCAAGGGGTTCTGGGGACACATTCTACCCCCAGTCCCAAGGGGTGCTGGGGACACATTCTACCCCCAGTCTCAAGGGGTTCTGGGGACACATTCTACCCCCAGTCTCAAGGGGTGCTGGGGACACATTCTACCCCCAGTCCCAAGGGGTTCTGGGGACACATTCTACCCCCAGTCTCAAGGGGTTCTGGGGACACATTCTACCTCCAGTCCCAAGGGGTTCTGGGGACACATTCTACCCCCAGTCTCAAGGGGTTCTGGGGACACATTCTACCCCCAGTCCCAAGGGGTTCTGGGGACACATTCTACCCCCAGTCTCAAGGGGTTCTGGGGACACATTCTACCCCCAGTCCCAAGGGGTTCTGGGGACACATTCTACCCCCAGTCTCAAGGGGTTCTGGGGACACATTCTACCCCTAGTCTCAAGGGGTTCTGGGGACACATTCTACCTCCAGTCCCAAGGGGTTCTGGGGACACATTCTACCCCAAGTCCCAAGGAGTGCTGGGGACACATTCTACGCCCAGTCACATGGGATACTGGGGACATATTCTACCCCCAGTCCCAAGGGGTGCTGGGAACATATTCTACCCCCAGTCTCAAGGGGTGCTGGGGACACATTCTACCCCCAGTCACATGGGATACTGGGGACACATTCTTAACCTGGTCCCATGGGGTTTGAGGACCCATTCTACGCCAGGACCCAACCCACTGGGGGCTGAGGAAACATTACATCTCCGGTCACATGAAGTTGTGGGGACACATTCTGTTTTGAAACCCAATGGGGCACACTGGATTCAGCTGTACCTTTCTTGTGGTTGTCCATCCATATCCGACAGAGCTGCATTGCTAGGGTGGCATTAAACTGCTGCATGTTGCCAGCAATACCGAGGTGGACGGGCTCCCTGCCACTGGTGTACGAGTCCAGGGACGGCGTCACGTACAGACTAGCCTGCAGTCGAAAAGAACTGGTAGAGATCATTACCTAGGACTCACTACTAATCTTACAGCTAACAATCAGCACTTAAAGAAAGTGCATATAGAAAAGGCTTCGGGCTAGCAGACTAGCATGAATTTAGAATACTGAAAATTCCACAACAACATGGCTGCCTGCAATAATCAAGGTAGGACGAAACAACACCAGTGAGTGAGTGAGTGAGTTGGGTTTAACGCCGCTTTTAACAGTATTTCAGTTATATCACGGCGTGTCAGCTGAATGTTGGAGGAAAGCCCGAAGTGATGCAGGTCTTAGACGTCTCGCTGAAACCCACGAGCACAGGTATGGTGCTGACAAACCTAGAAACATAATTCGGGCAAACTGGGATTCGAACCCACAATCATAGGTTTCTGGCGTGCCCAAGGGACGCGACTCTGCACAGCGAATCGCGGCGCCTTAGACGACTGGGCCACCCGTGCCCCCAGCAACACCAGTAATCACCCAGGTCAATGATCTGACAACTCTCTAAGGAAGTAGAAGATATTTGTTGTTGTTGTCAGTTTGCCTACATGTTGTCATTATTTAGGCAAGAGTTAAAAAGCCCAGTCATTTTCTCCAATTTGATACGGCATCTGAAGAATGTGTGTATTTGTATCTCGTTTTGTATGCAAAGGTCTTTGACCTAACTTGAAAATAAAGTCATGGATAATACTATCACCTGGGGTCTGCAACAACCCTCAAGACACCATGGCACCAAAAATGAGTGAATGAGTGAGTGAGTGAGGTTTTACGCCGCTTTTAGCAATATTCCAGCAATATCACGGCGGGGGACACCAGAAATGGGCTTCACACATTGTACCCATGTCGGGAATCGAACCCGGGTCTTCGGCGTGACGAGCCAACGCTTTAACCACTAGGCTACCCGAACGCCCCGCACCAAAAATGAACCAAATGCATGCAGACGTTCTGGAGACACTAACACCAACTGTGGTATCTAAACTAAGCCTAAAAGAGTTCTAGTGTGGCTATGGGCATCTTCCCGAGGCAAGCGAGTTAACCGACTATAAAAGTCCTGTACATACCCTTGCCAGACTTGGCTGGAATTATGGAGTTGTATTTAGGGTGGACGAATGAGTCTTTACAGTCCAATCAAAATCCCGTAACGAAATTGGCATCTGGTTCATATACAACATGGCAACAGCCTTGCCAAATTCTTTCGATTGCTGGATTTGCAGAGCATGTGTACAGTGAACTGGGTTTTGACAGATATTTTCTAAATCTTTTCCTGTTTTTAATAAAGGTGCTCAAGTGATTTGATGCACTTTGTGAGGTAAAACCTGTTTTATTAAACAAAGATCTTTATTATCGAAAAAACGTCTCGACTCCACCATTCTGTTTGAAGCAAGAGCAAGATTTGGTTGGTTGGTTTGTTGTTTAATGCCACAATCAGCAATATTCTAGCTATATGACGGTGGTCTGTAAATAATTGAGTCTGGACCAGACAATCCAGTGACTGATATCATGAGCATCAATCCCCGCAATTGGGATCGATGAGATGCATCAACCAAGTCAGCGAGCCTGACCACCCGATCCCATGAGTTGCCTTTTACAACAAGCATAGTTGCCTTTTACGGCAAGCATGGGTTGCTGAAGACCTATTCTAACCCGGATCTTCATGGGTTGCAAGAGCAAAGGATATGAGAGGTGGAATCTGATTGGTCATAGGGACATGGAAGGGACATAATTTGTAATAGCCAATGGTTGCGCTACCATTGAGCCCAGAAATTTTCAGCCTAGTTTAATTGGCAAGGGTGGAAAATGGGCTTTAAAAATCAGTCAACTCTCTTGCCTCAGGAAGTTTTGCTGTGGGGGGCATAAATAATCATCCATGGCACACTTGACGTACCCCCTTCTCTTTCGTTCTGTTGAGAAGCACATTCATGGCTGCTGCTGGTTGGGGAACTGTGACTGCAGGAACATTACGCTGTAACCATAGAAACAAAGAATGTAACAGTTAGTCTTAAAATTATTGTAAACGTTATGAATTACAGAATCAAGTCATCAAACAGAGATCAGTGTGATCTTCCATGCTCCATTGTGACGTTCTCAGTTAAAAATTTCAATACATCCAGATGAATTCGTTTCTTGTTTCAGCAAGAAACAGAGCAAAAAATCCGACATTTTTTTTTAACAGAATGATTTGATTTTTTTCAAACATTTTCTGAAAGAAATCAACCTAAAATTACACAACATTTCTATGTCTTCGTTTGACCTCACTTCATCCTCACCATACAAATCCACAAGATCAGTCTGGCATGTGAAAATCCTTTCACAAAGACACTTCACAAATATCTACCCCAAAGTAAACAAGTTTAGTATATCTGTCAACTGACTTTTCAATTTAAATGTTAAAGCATACATTCATTCATTATTACTTTGAAAATCCCTGCTTTCTGCCAAGCAATCTTGTCTATTGTGTCTCCGAGGACTGATGTGTGATCTAATCCAAGGGAGGTAACTCCACACACAACTGGGGCCTGGAGGAAATTGGTAGAATCATATTCTCCACCGATGCCAACTTCAAAGATGGCCACGTCAACGTCTTCCTCGAGGAACATGTGGCAAGCCATGACGGTGAGGAAGGAGAAGTACGCTGGCATCTCACGGGCATCAGGATCCTACAGGGAACATGAGGCAAAGGTGATAAAAATTGAATTGACTTTCACAATTGTCATGTTACCGAGAACCATTATCTGTACTATCATGCTTGTCTAGGAATGAAGGCTTGTTTTCATTCTTTAAAAACTCCTTAAAACTTTCAATTTGTTTGAGTCACAATAAAAATTAATGTTGGGAATAGAAAACAATAGCAATTCTAAAATGCTAATGGATAGCAACATATTGCTATTTTATGCAAACACACAAGGGAGACAACTCTTAACACCAGTCAAACAGAAGCTTTTACTGCTGTGACATTGAGTTACCAGAGACTGAGGATGATAGATGAAGCCTACATTTATCAAAGAAATTATCTGCTTGTAAAACATCTTGCTACTACATGTTATACACTATCTCTTTTTCACTTTCATTGTTTATGTAATCAGAAAATTACATGAAAAATTAAAAAAAATATTATCTGTCATGACCCATGTCCTGCTAACAGTGGCTCTTAGCATAGTAATATGAGTGAGTGAGTGAGTGAGTGAGTGAGTGAGTGAGTGAGTGAGTGAGTGAGTGAGTGAGTGAGTGAGTGAGTGAGTGAGTGAGTGAGTCTGGTTTAACGCCGCTTTTAACAGTATTCCAGTCACATCACAGCGTGTCAGCTTAATGTGGGAGGAAAGCCCGAAGTGATGCAGGTCTCAGACATTTACCACTTCGGTGAAACCCACGAGCACGGGTATGGTGCTGACAAACCTAGAAACATAATTGGGGCAAACCGGGATTCGAACCCACAATCATAGGTTTCAGGCCTGCCTAAGGGACGCGACTCTGCACAGCGAATCGCGGCGCCTTAGACGACTGGGCCACCCGTGCCCCCTACAGTAATATGAGAAAATCCTGGGAAATACCTCCATTTTCTAAGCTTTGTATGAATAACGTGCAACGATTCATTGATGTTCGGCGTCATTAGAAAGCTTTGAACATCAATAATATTGTAGTAACCTCCCCTGGAGTATTTTCATAGTTGTAACGTGCAATACTATTTGATAGAAATCGGTTGCTAATGCCCCTTTTTTCGTTGTAATCTGCTACAAGGATCGTGACTGGTCAAATTCAAGCAGCCAATCAAATTATGGCAATGGATATATGATAAATTTCAGATTTAGACGAAAGGTTTTGGTTAAATCATGCTATTCTGAACGTTTTAAGCAGGAACTTGTGATGTACATTGAAAACTTTGTTAACATATCGTACTAGGCTACAACCCTGAATTTCTCACGCGAACATTATTGAATTAAACATTGCGACTGAGCAAAAAAATTGAGGCAACAAAATCCGAGACATCATTTGACTTACATTGCACGCAATCACAGGAAAAGATGGAAATAGTAGCTTAGACAACTTTTACATTTATATTTGTTGATTTTATTTATTACTAGATATAACTTATGTAAAGATTTGCTTGAAATGTCTTCGTTTTGCTCTTTGACATGTTTGATATGGACCTGTTGTAGAAGCATGTGTCCCAGATTATTTTTTTCAACAACATTGCGGGAAATAGTTAATAAATTATAAATATGTCGACAAAATATGTTAAATTGAATTGAAATATGTATTTTTCAGACATTGTGAAAAGTCATTGAATTAATAAATTAATGATATGACAGGTAGGTTAATAAAATCATATATTATTTTGATGTGGCTACGGCCTGCGGTGTCTGGGAACACATGATGTCGTGGCCGGTTTCGTAGTCTGCGGTGTTGAAAGAGTTAACAAACCATAAAAGTCTAGTTTCCAACCTTATCAAACGAGGCTGGAATTTAGTGACCCAATCGAGGTGCTACCAGTGGCTGTTAAGAGTTATGTCCCTTCTATGCCCATCCTATTGACTAATCACATTCCACCCCTCATATCACTTGATCTCCCTTCAAACAAAATAGCGGTACCCAGTCAGACGATCTGATCGATAATCAAGATACACATTGTAATCGAATGAGTCTTACATCCGAAGTGCATCAAATCTATTTAACAAGCTGATTAAATACATGAAAAGATTTGGGAAATATCTGTCGATGCCCAGAGGACGGTACACATTTTGCAAATCCTGCAATCAACCACCAAAATCTGCATAGCAGTTGCCATGTTGTCACCTCAGGAAAACGGCAAACACACAGCTTATCTTGTGCTCTGACTTACGCCTTTAACTTGGTACTTGGTGGCTTCCAGCTTATTGTACACTTCCCAGAAGTATTGGCTGAACAAGTCCTTAGCAACCGGCCTCCCATTCAGGCGGAACCTCTCATTCACAGTCACCAGGTGGGGAGAGCTGAAACCATGGCAAAACTAATCACATCTGAGATTACCTTAGTGAGTGAGTGAGTGAGTGAGTGAGTGAGTGAGGTGAAATTGGGTTTAACGGCGTGTCCAAGGTTATTGCACTTATATAGCGACGTGGATGTGGCTGTTTGTACTAGTCCGGACTGATGCCGATTTATAGTGCTAGCATACCGCAAGTACCATGTTTTAACGTCTTTTGGTATGACGCGGCCGGGGATCGAACCCCGGACCTACCGCTCTCCGAGCGGACGCTCTACTACTAGACCACGGAGGCAGTCCGAGTGAGTGAGTGAGTGAGTGAGTGAGTGAGTGAGTGAGTGAGTGAGTGAGTGAGTGAGTGAGTGAGTGAGTGAGTGAGTGAGTGAGTGAGTGAGAGTGAGTGTATCGCTTTTCATGTTTAGCAATGTTCCAGCAATGTTCCAGCAGGAAACAGCAGAAAGGGGCTTCACACATTGTACCAATGTGAGGAATCAAACCCGGGCCTTCTGCATGAACACTATAACCACTTGGCCGCCCAACCACCCTGAACCATACTGGAAGGCTTAAACTGGGCTGCTTCAAGAACCCATGCATTCTTCCCTTAACTCTTTCAACACCAGTCAACCAGAAGTGTTTACTGCTGGGACACCGAGTTCCCAGAGACTCTTGTGTGATAGATGAAGCCAACATTTATCAAAGAAAATACCTGCTTGTAAAATATATTTGCTACTACATGTTATACACCATTTGAAAGGTCTGATCCTATGGTTTATAAATATGAAAGTTATATGTTTCAAATTATTTAAAATAATGCATTTACAACTTAATAAAATTCGTTGTAAATAAAAAATGTATGCTAACACGTTGTTAACATCCAGATTAAGGACCAAGGAAGCGAAAACTTGACGATTTTCGGCAAATATATGATTTCATAATATCCACGTACCTATTTCTGTTTTATTTTCATTGTTTACGTAATTGGAAAATCATTTTAAAAAGAATTATAAATAGTTTCTGTCATCACCCATTTCCCGATAACAGCGACTGTCCGCTCAGTAAAATGAAGAAATACCCCCGTTTTCGAGGTTTCGTATGAATAACACGTTCGTCGAAGAATGGCATATGACACATCGCTGGAAAGCTTATTCCTTCATCTACACGCTCGTAACATCGACTGTTTTTTTTTCATAGTTATAACAAGCGATTTCATTGGATTAAAATTGGTTTCTAATGACGCTTTCTTGCTGAAATCTGCTACAAGTTTCGTGATTGGTCAATTTTGAGCAAATGACCTAAGGCAGCCAATCAAATTACAGCTGTGATACCAAGCTCGTGTTCGATAAATTACAGAAGTTTGCGAAAGAATTTTGTTAAATCGTGTTATTCTGAACGTTTTGAGCAGGAAATCACGATATATATTAAAAATATGGAACATCGTGAATGTATCGTGCTAGGTTACGAGCTGTGACAAAGATTTTTTATGCATATATTTTTGCATTAAACATCGTGTCCGAGCCGGGAATTCAAGGCGACGAAAGCCGAGATGTCATTTGACTTACATTACACGCGATCGCACGAAAAGATGGAAATAATAACTTAGATGTAAGTTTGATTACTTTTAGATATATTTTTGTTGATTTTATTTATTACTTTGTATAATATATTTAAAGATTTGTTTAAAACGTCTTTATTTTCCTCTTTGACGTGTTCGATGTGGACCCGTTGTCGAAATGTGTGTCCGAGAATTTTATTTTCAATAACATCGCGAGAAATAGTGAATAATTTTTTAATTTAACGATAAAAAATGTTATATTGAAATGGAATATGTATTTCAGACATTGTGAAATGTGATAGATTTAATAAATGAATGACATTACAGGTAGGTCCATAAAAATATATACTATTTTGACGTGACTACGGCTTGGCCGGATAACCGGACTGCGGTGTCTGGGGACTCGATGCTTCTTGGCCGGATAACCGGCCTACGGTGTTGAAAGAGTTAAACTGGGCAGTCGAAGTTGGTTCGGGGTTCACCTGATGTGACATTCTATGAGGGTGTCCTCAGATCTTCATTCAGAGGGGTATTGTATTCAAATAAAAGGTTTGATTTGAGACAGATCAAACCCCCAAGTCCAACCACCTGATACATACAAGTACAATACAATTTGGTTGGTTTGTTGTTTAAGACAGCACTCTGCAATGTTCCAGCTATATGACGGCGGTCTGTAAATAATCGAGACTGGACCAGACAATACAGTGATTAATATCATGAGCATCGATACACACAATTGGGATCGATGTCATGCATCAAACAAGTCAGCGAGCCTGACCACCCGATCCCAACCCACAGTGGAGATAGAGGCAAATCTTCGTGAAAGATTTGAAAGTTCTATACTGACTAAATTTCTGATCTGAACTGTCATTTGAACACTCATGTAAACAGAATAATTACCTGAACATGCCTGTCTTGTAACCATGGTGACGAAGAATGCTCTCGCAGAATGCACTGGTTGACCCTTTGCCTTTTGTGCCACTGATATGAATAACCGACAGTTTTTCAAGGTCAGGAACCTAAGCATAAAAACATTTAACAATGGAGTACATACACAACGTTATTATACTTATGTTTTAGTGTTTCTAAGTTACCGTATTTGATGTAATAAGCGCCCAGGACGCTCTCAAAATTGGAAATAGTGGGATCTTATCAGAATATAATTGTGATGAGAACAAAAACAGAGTTGAAAGATCGTAAATTTTGTGGTTTATGCTGACAGCCTGAAATGATACAAAAGAAAAGTATGTGCGTATCATACATAACAGATATATTTTCCAGAATTTAATTGCCCAAAATTAAGGGTGCATATAACACACGAGAGCGTATTATACACGAATAAATAAGTCTTGTGTACATTGATCAATCGGAAGGTGAGCTAATTTTGATTTGTTCACTAGCCAATATTTTAGCAAATATCGCCTTGGGCGCTTATTACGTCGAATACGGTAATAAGTATTTTACTGTCCAAAAAATAGCAAAAGATCACACTGAATGCAATCCTACAAAACCTCTGAATTTATGAAATAAGACCTATAAAGAAATTCTAAGTTAGGACAGCCACTCAGGTAGTTTGATATCCCAGACAAAAATGTCCAAGAGGTGTGTCTGATGATAAAGTATTGTTTTATAATAGAACTGTGAGATAAGAACACATCAGCATTGTAAGTCAGCCCCTAGCAACACAGAGCAGAAAGATAAGCTTCAGCATTGCAACATGTATTACACCACCGTACAGTCGACATGTTCAGAGGTGGGTCATGATAACCCCACACATACCGGTACCGTACATATCACAATACTTGAGCCGTGATAAATCTAAAAACTTTGGGAATCACTTTTTCTACTTGACATCAAAGTTTTGAATTGATAAATTCGTTCTTGAGTTCACAAGACACATTGAGTGAGTGAGTGAGATGGGTTTAACGCCACTTTTAACATTATTCCAGTTATATCACGGCGTGTCAGCTTAATGTGGGAGGAAAGCCCGAAGTGATGCAGGTCTCAGACGTTTACCACTTCGGTGAAACCCACGAGCACGGGTATGGTGCTGACAAACCTAGAAACATAATTGGGGCGAACTGGGATTCGAACCCACAATAATAGGTTTCTGGCATGCCCAAGGGACGCAACTCTGCACAGCGAATCGCGGCGCCTCAGATGACACATTGACTTACCTATGTAACAGATAAGGCTGTCAGTACTCGAGATCTGGTTTGACACACAGTGTTCCCGGTTACCGGTAATTACCATTTTTTTTACCAGTAAAATTGGGCTTGGGCTGGTAATTCATGTGACTGAAAGTCCCAGTGAACCGGCAAATAAAATACCTTATAAATCTTTGGTCTTGAAGAAAACAGAGATATTTATATATTTTTCGAATGAATTCAGCTTGTCTGTTGTCAGGGATTCCCCTTTGTCTATTTTTAGTGCAAGGAAATAACATTTCACTTTGCTTCAAGGTTAAAATTATATTTGTAGCTACTTCATCTTGAAATATTGAAAAAAAAAAGAGGAAAACATTGTGAGTAAACTTTGTGTGAATGATGTGTAGATCTAACATAGTTACTTCAGAGATGACGTCATTGCATTGAACATGATGTTGAAAGAAGTATAGAAATGAAATTGTCCTAAAATATTAGGGGGGACTGGTACCGTATACATGGTATATCGCTTTGTAAAAGGCGAGTTTTTGGTACTTACAATTAGGGTTTTTTCAAGGGGGTCGTCTTATACACAGGGTTGAAGAGTTTGGATGTGTTTTCCCTCAACACAGACATTACTGTGAGCGCGTAACACCGGAAGTACCATGTCAACAAGTTTTAGAGTTGCCAGTAGTTTCAAAAGCCAGCGGTAAAACTGACATAGCAATCATAAAGCTACGACTGTCGTAAGTGTATGTTGGAGTACAGGAGTTACGTTAGCAGTAGTGCTAGGGTCAACGTGAAACAAGGTGGTCTGGTCCAGGGCCCCGTTCATCTACAATGATCGTAAGCCTATGTTAAAGTATGGTACTTACGATCACCTTAGCGCTAAGATCGCTTTGAGCATGTTGAGGAACGGGGCCCAGTGCATCTGCTCAGCACAATTCTGAAGAAAGTTCTAAAATAATTATTTCTAACAGACCCTAAGTTTGAAAAAACATGAAACCTAGAGCTGACTGATAGGATGCATTAACAAAATCTAAGGCCCTGTGTACGCCCATTTCCATATTTATTGATGTTTCTCCTGTTCCATTATTCCAATCTGATGTAACAAGCTTGTAATCCCCTCAAGGCCACTCATGCCATTCTGTGACAAGCCAAATGCCCTTCGTGTGGCAATTATATGTCTTCACAGATTTTTTAAAAAAAGAGTCTGCGCCCACACCCAAAACAGTATTCTGAATAGAACTCTGCAAAGCTAAGAAAATAAAAATGATTGCCATTATACATGTTATATATACAACTCAAAAGAAGTTAGAGAACTCCTGATTTTTTTCATGACTATTGTTAATAATTCATGACATATTAACCATAGTCATATTAAAAAATCAGGTGTTCTTTAACTTCTTTTGAGTAGAATACTCCAACCAGCACAGTGTGCAAGCTGGTGTGAAGGTTTGGTGTTGCAAGTTACCAGCAGGTGAATGTCAGTCCGACAGTCACATCAAATACATACTATAGACTGATATTAGTGAGTGAGTTTGACTTAACAACGCTTTTAGCAATATTCCAGCAATATCATGGCAGGGGACACCAGAAATGGTCTTCACACATTGTACCCATGTCAGGAATTGAACGCGGGTCTTCGGCGTGACGAGCACACGCTTTAACCAATAGGCTCCCTGATCGCCCCTTGACAGATATTAACATGATCAAACTGACTGAACTGGGTCATGCCATGGTGCCTTCGCTTGATGTGGCAGGAATGTCCAAAGTGATGCAGATCTTAGATGTTTACCACTTTGGTGAAACCCATGAGCATGGGCATGGCACTGATAAACCTAGAAATACGGGCAAATCTGTGATGTGATTCCAGGATCATAGGTTTCTGCACCTCTAAGGGACGCAACTCTGCACAGTGAATAAACCACATATACCCTGTGTACCATACATATACCCCAACTGATACTGCTACATCAAATATATCTTGCGGACATGTTTCAATTTGATACTATAAAAGAATCAAAACAAATTGAAAATAGATAGACAACAATTGTTCGAGTGAGCTGGGATTAACTTGTGCATGTTGTGCAGTGTCACATGACTTTCATGGACATGTAAACTGTCCTGACACTGTCCTGAGTGTTTACTGTCCCGCTCAGAAATTCATGCACAGCCTGTTTTCTTTGTGGCGGGGTATAAGGAATTTATTGTCCCACTCAGAAATGTATCCCCCCAATCAGATGTCAACTTTCTCACATGGAGGTAAGATAAAGTAGTTTATCATGAGTGGTATGTCTTACCTCTATATCACATCGTTTCAAGTAGTTTATCATGTGCGGTATGTTCAGATGGCGCCTGGAATCCCGGGTGCTGGCAATTTTGGCCAGCGTCTCAGCATTTGACTGAAGGGTATTCAATGTCTGGATGGCATCCTGCAAATTAAGACAAATAAATAACAAGAGAAGAACTATTTCTAGGACAACGCTGAATATGTTGTTTATAAAATGTAGTTTAACCCAAATCCATCAGATCATGAGAGACTTCTTTTGTGTGCAACTTTACAGATTTCTGTGCGATTAAATATAAATAAACGAGACATTTCAATTTTTAAATATAATTTATCAAAATGTTCAGACTTGTTCCTTACAGCCATCTTATGTTTAACGTAAGGTGTCCCATTCATGTAACCTCGGTAGAAAGGGTTGTCCCCATTGCAGAAACTATGCACTTAGTTAAAAAGCACGGAGCAAGGGCTAGAACTGTAAAAAAATAATTTATGACACCAAAGTATCTCTTATAAAAGCATGCAAACTTTCATTCAGTAGTTTCTGAGAAAGGGTAGTACACACTAAGTCGAAAAGTACGGAGCAAGGGCTATAGCTCTACAAAAAAGAAATTTAAGACACCAAAATTTTTGAACTTCTTTAAGTGTGTATCAGTGTGTAAAATTTCATTTCTCTAACTCAAATAGTTATTGAGAGAATCTGTCCCCTTTGGCATGTTTGAAAAGCGGACAGACGGACAGAAAGACACCAGAAATGGGCTTCACACATTGTACCCATGTCAGGGATCGAACCTGGTTCTTCGGCTTGATGAGCGAACGCTTTAACCACTAGACTACCTGACTGCCCCTTGGGTTTTGGGAGTTTTAGAGACTTCAAACATACAAATAAACATATAGTTCTGTGCCAATCTGCACACTACTAATATACTACTATTCTGTCAAGAAGTACATTTGGGTTCACAATAATTGTGATAAGTTACTAGATTTTACAAAGAAACAGAACTGAAAGTGTCTAAAAAAGTCAAGACCAACAATGTTTGTGGTTTAACGCCACACTCATCAATATTCCAACTTTTTGGCGGAGATATGTAAATAATCGAGTCTGAACCAGACAATCCAGTGATTGACATCATGAGCATTGACCCACGCAATTGGGATATGATGACATGCATCAACCAAGTCAGCAACCTGACCACCCGATCACGTTAGTCGCCTCTTATGACAAGCACAGTCGCCTTTTACGGCAAGCGTAGGTTGCTGAAGGCCGATTCTAACCCGGATCTTCACGGGTCAAGACCAACAATGACGTGCTGTAACCCAAGCCCTTACAACAAGGATGAGATGATGGAGATCCACTCCACATCAGACTCCTCGTAGTCATGGTCTACAAAGTAAGAAGAGTTAAGAAAGGCATAATTTTCTCCATATGTGCGTAAATCTAATAACCAATCTATCATGGCCTAATGATTTTGTTTGTTTGTTGTTTAACGCCGCACTCAGCAATATTCCAGCTATATGACGGCGGTCTGTAAAATAATCGAGTCTGGACCAGACAACCCAGTAATTGACATCATGAGCATTGACCCATGCAATTGGGATCGATGGCATGCATCAACCAAGTCAGCGAGCCTGACCACCCGATTGCCTTTTACGACAAACTTGGGTTGCTGAAGACCTATTCTACCCCGGAATCTATCATGGCCTATTGAAAAAATAGAGAACACACCTGAAATCGGCTACTCATCTTGTCACCAACAACATCCACTGTGACCTCTGCATGAAGCAATCATGCACTAGCATAATGTACACAATACTCTAGCTGTAGTGTTGTAGTTACCCAAATAAATGCATGCCAGTTTCTTCAACTGGATTTTATTTCTTGAAATGAAAATCCACTAAAATCCACTGAAAGACCCTACAATCACGAGTAACAGTTATTTGGGAAGTCACTATGGTAACTACCAAATCAATTAATGTCTCGTTCAGCTGTCAACAGTGATTCTGGTAAATCAGGCTATGTGACGCTGATAAAGGGTAAGTACGGTAGTGTTATCGGGAGCATTATCAATGTACGTCGTAAGACAACGGCCAGAGTAAGCTATCACACTCACAGAGGCATGCTTATCAGCCCATGACAGCAGTGGCAAGGCCTGTTTGTTTTTAGTTTGTTTATTGTGTGCTAGATGCCACAGACTTAGTTTCTAGCACAGACATGTCAACAAAGGGACCGGTCATTTATTACAGTAGTGGATGGAGCAGCGGGACTCAGGGGAGAGTCACTATAAAATTGGACAGTCTCTTGGGGAGGGTCATAAAAAATAATACACATATTTGGGAAGGTTCATGGAAAAAATATTTTAAAAATAATTTTATAATGAAATATAGAGTTCTTTTCTTCTGTTATTTTGTCTTTCCAAGGAGGGTCATCCAAAAATATGAGTGAGTGAGTGAGTGAGTGAGTGAGTGAGTGAGTGAGTGAGTGAGTGAGTGAGTATGGTTTTACGCCGCTTTAAGCAATATTCCAGCAATATTATGGCAGGGGACACCACCAGAAATGGGCTTCACACATTATACCCATGTCAGGATTTGAACCAGGAATTTTTGGCGTGACAAGTGAACGCTTTAACCACTAGGCTATCCAACCGCCCTCCAAAAATATGACAAGCAATAGCATGAATAGGGGAGGGTAATTATTATCACCCTCCCCCGCCCCCCCCTCCCCTACCAAAAAATGGCCAGTCCCAAAAGTAATGTATTGTAGACATAATCTTTGAAATATAGTACAAAAATTTACTTTCTCAAGTTTGGAGGAGTTATCACATAATGACAATGAGTTGCAGGGTTTTACCTTGGGACTTGGGTTATTCATTTTGGGGGTCCAGGGGATTCACAACATTTATTTGTAGGAGTCCCACATCTTCCCGAGGCAAGTGAGTTAACTGACTATAAAAGTCCAGTTTCCACCCTTGCCAAACTAGGCTGGTATTGGCTGGACTAACGAGTCTATGCATAGTCCAATCCAAATTGTGCTCCGAAATCGAAATCCTGTTCGTAAACTGTCATGCAGATTTCAGTCGATTGCAGGATTCGCTAAGCATGTGCACCGCTAACTCGTTGTCAACAGATATTTTCTAAATCTTTTCATGTTTTTAATCAAGGTGCTCACATGATTTGATGCACTTAGCGATGTAAGACAATATATAGATCTTGATTATCGATTTTACATAACACACATTTCACCTCACTTCAAACCTGGATTCAGATTGAATAATTAACCCAGACACAAGAAAGGCTAAATGGGAACCTTTATCAGGTAACCTGAGTGGTGCTACCACTAATTATACCTGTAATCATGGTAAATTCATCAACTGAGCATCAAGTGAATGACGACAAATACACAAGTGTAGGGTCATACCAGAAAACATGGATGACAACAAGGGAGTAGTAATCGTATTATCCGAAAATGCTTTCACTGCAGGGAAACTTATTTTGATTATTAAACTATAACCATCAGGGGTATTTCCAAATAATGACATCAGATGAGCTTCTGTCGTTCTTTTTGTCTGTTTGTATAGGCTAAGGAAATTAATTAACATCCACCTTTGTTGAAATCTTCATAGATCACGGTAACCAATCAGTGTTCAAAAATGCGTAAAACAAATATTGCCTCCAAGTTTATTTAGCTGTCCTTGTAGACGGTAGCCCAGTCTCTTGTCATGCTCAGTGTGTTTGCGAGCAAATCGACTCACTGCAGCTAGTAAACCCTAGTGGCCCGTGTCAGACAGCCGAGAAGAAGCCAGAGATTAGTGCCCCTTTAATTGGGGTGGATAGGTGATTGGCAACCGACATATCGAAGCCAACCCATAACAGTTAATTAGCCCTGTCTGATTGGTGATAGCGATAAAACAACTGGAAGCCAGGACTTCAATTATCACTAATTGGTAATTGGCAATGGATAACGGGCAAACGGAAGGCAGGGGGTAATTAACACTGAAAATGGCAATGGACAAATGGAAGCCTGTTTCACATTATTAACCTGTGACGGAGTAAGTATATACCCCGAAACCTTGTGATAATAAAGAAGTTGCATGATATCCATAAATTCTCTTCCTTATGTGTATCACTAAATGTGTGAAGTATTACTGGTAAATTGAGGTTCATTCTTTCCACAATAGATATCACAATATAATTTTGTCATGCTCGATATATTGGGTGAATTCAAATTTGGAATTTGATCATGTGTTTAATGTTATATACTTGCCAAATGCCTTCGCTGCACAGGAGCAAGCATCCGGGGCCCAAAGATAGTGGCATATTTATTGAATGAGAAAACATCATGTTGTACCAGCATCTTGTTTGTTCCATTTGTGAACTTCAGTTCACACCTTAATTTATCAGATTGCTTCTGAATTAAAAATTTAGAATTATACAATATATTGTGATAAGTATTGCAATACGGCCTTGTACATTGCAAAATATTGTGATTCACTTTAAACCTCCAATACCCATCTGTATGTATCACGTCTAAATGCACTTCAAAGACTTTAAACGAGGACTTGTTTCTGAATATTATAACATACAATGCCAGGCAGTTTAATCAATCCTTTGACAAAGGTGGAGTAAGTAGTTTATCAAGGGCTGGGCTGGATTAACATTTATTTTCTTCAGTGAGTGAGTGAGTATGGTTTTACGCTGCTTTTATCAATATAGTCCAGCAATATCACAGCGGGGGACACCAGAAATGGGCTTCACACATTGTACCCATGTTGGGATTCTAACCCGGGTCTTGCTGTGATGAGCGAACGCTTTAACCAGTAGGCAACCCAACCGCACCTTATTTTTTCAATCCCAGTCACACAACAAATAAATATAAAAGTAATTATGGTAATATATGTTTAAAAACATTTATCTACCCTCAACATCATATTTTGTTCTAAAAGAGTAAATGTACAGTCTGAGCCAAAAAACCCCATTTAAGTATATTTGACTGAACTTGTAATTTGGCATTATTTTTCAGAGATGTTAGTTTTGTATATGGACTATTACTACCACAAGTTGATCTTACGAGACCATCAGACATTTTACTAAAGAGGGCTTGGAGCTTGTGGATAAAATAGCAGACTTATCTTATATCTTATAGTAACTAGTAAGTTGTACATCAGGTCCTAATGCAAGTCTATTGGTCTGACCAGGAGAAAAATCATTTTCAGACTAAACAATCATGATTAATTATGGGGCGGTTACATAACAATGTTAGTGTTATTGTTGTGATTTGGGTAAATAAACATGTTGTGCATAGATGCATTTTTGGTGTCTGCTAGAGACGATTTAAAGTCCCGATATGGCGTCTGCTAGGCACATTACATATCGTAAGTAACAAATATTGACCAATGGATAAAACTTCAAATGAAAGTGACAATTATATTTGTAACGTCCAGATATATCTCAAATAAATATTTGCTCATTACTGAGAAAAACATATCATATAACACACCTGCCAAACGCATCTGATTGCAATGGTTTTCACCATGCTTGCGCGACTGCTCTTCCGACTTGGCATTACAGTAAATCTCCTCAGAACGTGAAAACATGCTGTCATCCTACCCTCCTCTTTTCTCGCGTTCGTTAGTCATAAAGAACGGTTGTTCTTTGTTTGTTTACTTCATACTTCAATATGCAGCATAACTAAAGTGCCAGTAAATCGTAACACTGCCATCTCATTGTCGGCAGCGACAACATTTAGGTCAACACGTGTGTCAGGTCAACTGATCACGTGATAAAATCATGTGACCGACAAGTACCTGCTCAAAGGGACATTTACGCGCGTTGGCAAATGTCAAGGCTGATCGTCAGAACGAAACAGTGCCTCACCTTGTATGAGTGCATTTTGGACTCGAGTGTACTTGTTCCTGCCGATGTCATAACTCTTCTACTGAATGTTATTAAAGAAACCATACGTTTCATTGCAAACCATTCAATGTTTACATTCTACTGGATTTCCCAGTCTCCCACGTGCGGCCATAGTGCGCAAATGATACACAACCGAATCTGTTCATTATTTATATGGATACGTAAGTAAAGTTAATTTAAAATGGGTTTCGTAATAGAAGAAAAATGTGGTGCAATTTTCCCAATCTTTAACATAACATATATAATATGCATTGTTTGATACGAGATAATTTCTTGTTCTTCATGATGCTACGAAACTACAATTCGGGCGTAGCTCCACCACGCACTAAGCATATTTCGATCATGTGATCTTAGAATCCAACATGTCGTCTAAGAAATCGTTGACTCAAAAACTGAACGACTTGGAGAAAAAGCTAACATTAGAGAACAGATTGCATGAAAATGACAGAAGAGGTAGACCGTTGCAGTCAGGATCCCCGGGCCCCAGACGGCCAAGTAAGTTTGATGGCCAGTGGGTTGAATAAACAAGCAAGCGTTCTGGTGTAGATTGTGAATCTCTAATTTGCTGTTTTGACATTTTCAGGGCCAAAACTGTCGCATCACATGAATTCGTGACAGTATGTTCACACGGTAGCAAATACTGCTATATTTCTTTTGGTTAATCGTTTTTCTATTTATCTGAATGAAATAACTCATTTGAATCTGTATGCTGTCTTTTCTTACCTGTGATCTCTAGGCTTAATCTTAAATCTTTCTCTGGGACTGTCATAGTTTAGACTGTGAAAATATTAGATATTTCCGGACATTCACAACATTGAGCAGTTGTTTACATACCAGAATTTAAAAATACAAAGTTGTTTGGTCTTGTCAAACAATACTGATAACCCATGTCTATAAAACATTTGTACATTTACTTATACACAGACCATGGGCGGATACAGCTTTTTTGGAAAGGGTGGGTGCACAACTAAGATCTATTGGTAATTTATACATAAATAAAGATTTTTTCGAAATAAAAAGGGGGTGTGCACCCCCACACCCCTAGTGGCCTAGTGGTTAAAGCGTTCGCTCATCACGCCGAAGACCCGGGTTCGATTCCCGACGTGGGTACAATGTGTGAAGCCCATTGATGCACTAAAGTACAGAAAATAATGACCCTCCCCTAATGCTTTTCATACTTTGGTTGACCCTCTCCATGTCCTTGTACATATTTGTCATGACCCTCCCCGAACATGTACATTACTTTTTATGACCCTCATATTTTTGTTGACTCTTCCCTGATTCCCCCTTACACCTCCCCCTCCCCATCATGAACGACTAGTTCCTTGCTTTGATAAACTGAGTCTTCACTATGTTCATTTCGTATATTTTAAAATGTTGGCCAGTGACCAATGATGACAGTCCGGTTTCCAGAATGGTAGGGTCCTTTTGGCTTATTCATGAAATAAATGTGGGCCATTCGCAAAAAGAAGCCAAGGAATCCAATACAACATTTTCTTGGAACAAACGGTCAATAAATCCCAGATGATACTTGGCCATTCTGTGGTGGTATCAATCTTTAACTTTCTGACATTCAGAATTCATGTTTTTTTATGATAGTGAATCACCACAGTGTTTCAGTCAAATTATATATTTACCGGTACACTAGAACGGTTACAGCAGCACTTGCAATACTGGTACATTCAATATTTTTGGACCGATAGGGTTCATGGCCTATTTTACCAGTAAGTAAATGGCGGTAAACAGAAACACTATAGACATGCTGAGACATTTTAGGAAGAATGTTACAGCTTCATAATCTTCATCAACCTTCTGTCATATGTATAAACAAGCATGCAAGTATTCCACTGCATGAAGTATGCTGCCATTGACACCTAACAGTGCTATGCGATTATTTACTTACACATGTCAAATTGATCTGTCAGTTTGATTTGATCATTGTTGATACTTTATCAAATATTTATGTGCTGGTTCTACAGCATTAGAAATTGGCACTAGTCGTGTACATGGTGTCAGAGCTCCAGATAAGCTGCGTATCTGCATAAAATGCGCATCAGAAATGCAGAAATATGCAGTAAAATAAAATCCAAGCGTATCAAATACGCAACGAACATTACAGATACGCTACAAAAATAAAACTTGTGTGTTTCATCAAAATATTGTGAAGTAACCCTGCATATTTGATTAGCAAATCAGCAACTTATTTTGAAATTATAAACAGACATTCCGTCAAGCTTGCCAAACTCCACGATGACAGTTACATCATGATCATTTGCCATCACACTCTCTTGTGGAAGTATCATATTTTTTAGTCCTATAAAGCTCTCGAACCCACACGACACCAGTGTGCAGGTACTAGATGAATAGTGTTTTTAAATATTTAACTTAAATACCCAAATGTGTAAAAACTTGTAGGTAACAGAAATTTGAATACCCAGATAGAATTACTGATACCCAATGATTTTAAGATGCATGTGTAAAATACCCACGACACCAAAAGCTTATCTGGAGCTCTGTAATATCAATCTGTAGTTTGTCTCATTTAGAATGAATTTTTTAGGGAGTGTCGTGATATGCAGGGTTAGAAATTGGCACTAGTCCTATAGTCCTTGCCCAACTGCCCAATAGTTAAGGTATCATAAGGACTAGTAGATATTTGCCATTTTTAAGGATTTTGCTATATATTATCATTATAAGGACTAGTGGACTAAAAATGTTAGTTTCTACCGCTGTTGTGTGATACATACAAATCATAGAAGCTTGGTAAGTTAACGCCATATTATCGTCATGATGTGATGATGATTGAGTGAAACATTTTGTTTTGATTTGGATCATATATTATAATGAACCCATTGTTCATGCTTTTTGTGAAGCTAATGATTTTTTAAGGCCTTATGTTTTTGTTTAGTTGGTTTACGGACTGACCAACAAAAAGAACCTGAAATTAGAACCAAAATAAAATGACTTGACAAAAAAATTTCCCACAAGATTTTATCACCGCTGTCTGAAGAAATGGTGGCACGTACATATAATAATCTTTATTCTACCCCCCAAAAAACAAATAACTTACTGTATCTTACCATTTTTAACTTGTTTGTTTTTCATTCATAAGTAGCGATGCTAATCTGGAAGTTTTTGTATTTTTCGACCTCTTATTTTGAAGAATTTTTGGCGAAATGTTTTGTCAATCAACCAATAAAAAATAAAAGGCCTAAGCAGTATATTATGTCTTATATTTACAGTATGGGTGTATGATAAACCAGTAACCATGGTAACTGGATCATCTTCCAGAGGCAAGTCCGTTCACTGACTGTTAAAGTTCAGTTTCCACCCTTGCCGAACTAGGCTGGATTTTCTAGGCAATCAGTGGCTATTACGAGTTATGTCCCTTCTATGTCCTTCCTACCATGCCTACTGACCAATCCGATTCCACCTCTCAAATAGCTTACATTTGCTTCAAACAAAATAGCGGCGCCCAGTCAAGACGAGTAGAACGATAATCAAATCTATATTGTAATAAAACGGGTCTTCGCATCAAATCACGAGAGCACCGTGATTAAAAACATGAAACGATTTGGAAAATATCTGTTGACACTGAGTTTGAGGTACACATGATTTGCAAATCCTGTAAGCGACCGAAATCTGCATGGCAGTTTCCGAACCGTATATCGATTCCGTTATGCGATTTTGACTGGAATATGCATAGACACATTAGTACAGCCAAAATATAACTCTATAATACCAGCCTAGTTCGGCAAGGATGGGAACTGGACTTTTACAATCTGTTAACTCCCTTACCTCAGGAAGATGTAACTGGACTGAAAATGAAATATTTTGAAAGAGTTTGTTGACAAGACTCATGTTAAACAGTTATTCCGATTGTTTTCTAGGGATTGTGATTATATGATGTCATTTGACATGTATGTTTTGTAAACATGTCACATAAATGATCTTTTTGCGTTGACAGGAAACTGATTTATCATTGCCCAACATTTGATAAGCTGTAGCATGTTGATTCGATGCTCAGACATAAAAGAAATGTTGTGGTTTTTATCATATTGCCTACCAGACCAACCCCTGATTTCTTTGTGCCAACCTCTGACTATGTTTTCATGCTTTTGAACCCTGTGAGGACCTGGGGTAGAATGTGTCCCCTGACCCTGTTGCTTGTCAGCCCCGTGGGGACCCAGGATAGTCTAGAATGTGTCCCCCAACCCCGTTGCTTTTTCAGCCCTGTAGGGATCGGGGGTAGCAACATGTCCCCCACCCCATTGCTTGTTAGCCCCGTGGGGACCCAGGGTAGCAACGTGTCCCCCACCCCATTGGTTGTTAGCCCCGTGGGGATCCGGGGTAGCAACTTGTCCCCACAATGCTCAGTCTTCACTACAAAAATTTATTTCCCAAAATACGATCCCTAACTTTATTCAGTATATATCCTAAACTTGTGAGTCTGGCATTTGACCAAGGGTTGGTGGGTAGTAACCAATAATACAATGGCCGAACATCTGGTTTTGATTCTCATCATCAGAGCTCCAGATAAGCAGCGTATCTGCGTAAAATGCGCATCAGAAATGCAGAAATACGCAGTAAAATAAAATCCAAGCGTATCAAATACGCAACGAACATTACAGATACGCTACAAAAATAAAACTTGTGCGTATCATCAAAATATTGTGAAGTAACCCTGCGTATTCGATTAGCAAATCAGCAACTTATTTTGAAATTATAAACGGGCATTCCGTCAACCTTGCCAAACTCCACGATGACAGTTACATCATGATCATTTCCCATCACACTTTCTTGTGGAAGTATCGTGGTATGTTTGAGTCCTATAAAGCTCTCGAACCCACACGACACCAGTTTGCAGGGACTAGATAAATAGTGTTTTTAAATATTTAACTTAAATACCCACATGTGTAAAAACTAGTGGGTAACAGAAATTTGAATACCCAGATAGAATTACTGATACCCAATGATTTTAAAATGCATGGGTAAAATACCCACAACACCAAAAGCTTATTTGGAGCTCTGCATCATGTGTGCAATCCAATGTCTGGTGTTGCCCCTCTTGCAAATGGCTGGAATGGCTAATAGCAGCATGAAGCTCCACAGACACTCACTCTCTAGAACTGAAACCACAACCTTTGTTTTCAGCCTAACATTTATTTCCTTGTCTTGTGTTTGCCAGTCGTCCCAAGCTGGAATGATTACTATCATCACAACTCCTGTGATAACAACTCACCTTTCCTATGGGATGTCTCCAGGTTTCGGGTCCCCAGAAACGAAAGTAGGAAAAAATGACATTTTAATATATTTTTTTCACTCAAAAATGAATTGAGTATGCTTGTTTAGCTTATTAGTGTTTTGTTTGGATGGTTACGTTGTTTGCTTAAACTATTTTGAAAAGATGGACTGAGAATATTTTGCGATTATTTGTAATATGTGGTGGTAGTGTATGTGCACATGGTTGAACGGGTTGTTCTTGATGCTAGTGAGATATTTCCAGTGTTTAGATAACCATTTCCAGTTGTAGGGGCCAGTGGGGTAGCCTAGTGGTAAAAGTGTTCACTTGTCAAAGTCAAAGACCCGGGTGCGATTCCCTACATGGGTACAATGTTTGAAGCCCATTTCTGGTGTCCCCCGCCGTAATATTGCTGGAATATTGCTAAAAGCGGCGTAGAGCCATACTCACTCACTCACTCCAGTGGTAGGAGACAACCATTGAAGGAGTCATGATGACATGAAATATTTAGACATACTTACAATGCTCCTTTGTGTAGAACAATCATATTAAGTATGTTTTACTTTAACACTGAGGTGTCCCACGAAAAATGGTTCTTAACAGACTTGAGATGGTGAGCTGACTGCATGGTTACCATGGTTACGAAGCATGTAAGACTACCTTAGAGGTTTCCCTCTCATGACTTATCTTGTGACTTTTTAATCAGAAAAGACAACTGGAATTTTTACGTGAATTGGAAGAATGCTTGAACTAGCACCACCGAAGTCATTGAATAGAAAAATCTATTTATCTTTTTCTGAAATTAACACGAGACTCGACTAATCAGATGAAAGATTTCATTTGCAAGTGAAATCTTGTCTTGAAAGCATGGCAGCATGAATTACATAACTATACCTCACTACTCAACTTGACACTGTCTATAACTTCATCTGATAAACTGGCTTTCCATCTCTGCATCTTGTATGCCACCCAGGAAACTATGCATGTCATGGCTGTTAGTGTTGACACATTTATTCTACACATGCCACATTGCTTGTGTCGATTGGCCAATTGAAATGCGAAAGTTAACCCAGAAAAATCAGTACATGTATACAGAATAAAATTATGAAATCAGTAAATAACCACACAAGATCAATGAACAGTCAACAAATTATATTGAAATACACAGGATTTGGTTTACAGTCATTAAGGACAATACAATGGTCAAGGCATATGATACAATGACCGCATCATGGCAGCAGCAAAAATGGTACTTTCCTGATAGGTATGCTCTCTACATTGGGCAAATAGGTAAGTCAGGTCATAGATGAAAGGCCTTGAATCAACCGCGTTTGGCTCTAACATAGGTATAGCCAACCTTCCAGAGATTTCAAGAGGGGTCTTGAACCATGTAGTCTGTCAACAACTGTAAACAAGGGACCAGTCAATCCTGCTCACACCGGAGCTCCATATTGGTAGGCTATTGAAGGTGTCAAGCACTGGGACCGAGTTTGGACAATAAGCAACTAAGGGAGGTCACTCTGTTTTGTGAGCTGCTGTGGGCTGCAAAAAGGAGTTTTGCCACACTAGCAATAAGCTAAGACGTTTACAAGCACCTCATTTAAATCACCACAATAATCATCAGAAATGTAGTTATGATATACACTGCCACATAACACCCATTGACCATTCATTGAGATTTAGGCTTACTTTTAAGTTGAAGTTTAGGTAGATTGCAGTTTGCATATATTCATGCCATCCCATTTATGATACTCCGACAATTTTAAATATGATATGAATATGCTGTCTTTTAACTAAATTGTTAATTCAGGGATTTATCTAGGCAGATAGTATGCTCCAAGGCTGCAGCAAATTCAGTTTCGATTTCCAAAGTTTAACAATTCCTGTCAGTATGGTTGTAAGACCAAGAAGGAAGGAGGCCTAATGCTCAGTTATATTTTCTTGCATCATATACAATGTTGAAATACCTTGGAATTCCCAACTTCCGATTTTGAACAACTTTTCCCAAACTGCCTGCAGAGAGCACTCCAGCCTAGATACTATTCTCCTTCAACATGGTCAAGATCAGGTATTTATCAATGTTAACATTGCAGCATTAGGGAGTCATGGGGAAAGCGGGACCAGTTCTCGGTCAAGCTCCGCCCCCTCGTCGGGTCGGCGACGCCCGGAAATGCAGCTTGATTGTCACAGATTTCCACAGGAAAGGTGAGGATTAAATTAAGGTTGATGTGCAGCCACATGTACATGTTGAATGCCATTGGAGTTCAGACGGATTCATTATATTGTAGGGGGCACGGGTGGCCCAGTCGTCTAAGGCGCCGCGATTCGCTGTGCAGAGTTGCGTCCCTTGGGCACGCCAGAAACCTATGATTGTTGGTTCGAATCCCAGTTCGCCCCAATTATGTTTCTAGGTTTGTCAGCACCATACCTGTGCTCGTGGGTTTCACCTAAGTGGTAAACGTCTGAGACCTGTATCACTTCGGGCTTTCCTCCCACATTAAGCTGACATGCCGTGATATAACTGGAATACTGTTAAAAGCGGCGTTAAACCAAACTCACTCACTCATTATATTGTATTGTATTATTCCAATCTTTAATAATGATTTTACAACCAGTCTCCAACACTAGGTGCCGTATGGGTCAGTTTGACCTTTCCTTCAAAGTTGAACTTTATGTCAAGATATGACTGAAACTGTTGAAACCAACAAACAATTGCATTCTCTTCACATTAGTACCAAGAGGTTGTCTTATGCATACAGGGGCGGTCGAGTAGCCTAGTGGTTAAAGCGTTCGCTCGTCACGCTGAAGACCCGGGTTCGATTACCGACATGGGTACAATGTGTGAAGCCCATTTCTGGTGTCCCCCTGCCGTGATATTGCTGGAATATTGCTAAAAGCGGCGTAAAACCATACTCACTCACTCTTATGCATACAGGTGCATAGTTGACAAAAACGTGACATGTCTTTTTGTGTCCATTTCCTTGTTCAGTGGTCGGCGCCGCCCGGGCATGCAGTTGGATTGTCAACGAGGGCAACACAAGGCACCAGACAGCGGGGAGATTGATCAGAAGTATGAAGAAATCATGAAGCAGTCTGGGATCCTCTCCATTAACGGAAACGTGAGTCCGCTGATGCTGCACGTTTTCAACATGGCTATTAAACACACAGTGCCATTTAGAAAGTGGTCAAATGTAACAAATGTTATATTTGGGATAACACTTTCTTATCAAAGTACAGATTGTAGTACTCTATTTTTAGAGGGGGTTTGAGTCCCATCCGGGATTGGAACCCACACTGCCAGAGTGAGGCACCTAATCACCAGCATTTAAAGTCAGTGATCGCAGCCACCAAGCTTCCATGGCTTCCACTCTGTGAGTTGTCGATTGTCGACTAGGTGCCTCACTCTGGCAATGGTGGTTCTAATCCCGGATGGAACTCAAACCTTCCCCTCCCCCCCCAAAAAAAAGGACATAGAATCTGTACTTTACTGAGAAAGTGTTATCCCAAATATAACATTTTTTACAACATGGCTATTGTTCATGCATTCCTCATTCTTTCGTATTTGTTACGAATTTGCAACTAAAATACGATAATAAGATTTCTTCCCTAATTCATATCTTCACGAATATCTGTAAGATTGCTGATTTGACGCTAAGCAATGTATTCACACACTTTTGTAATTCACAAGGTCTTTGGAACTTTCGTCGGGGAGTTAATGGATGACCTCGGGCTTCTGCAAATGATAAAATCCCTGAAAAATAGCGTTACCCTTGTATTGTAATGCTTTTGCCATTGTGGTAGATTTGGGTCAGTATTGATATTATGAATTGTTTTTCAGAAATACCCAACTGATATTAGTGACATGGAGCCCTTGGGTGAACTGGGTCACGGCACCTGCGGCCAAGTCGTGAGGATGAGGCACAAGCTTACGCAGCACCCCATGGCTGTCAAGGTCAGGGTCATCCACATTTTGCCAGAGCTACTATCTGGAATTATGTATACCTAGTACTTAACACAAGGTCTTCGTTCTCTGGCCTTGAGGGCATCTACAAGACATTAAACACTGTTTATATCTTGACGTTCCTAGATACCGATATTTGGCCCCATATCTGCTGCAAATATCTTTAAAAATTCCGAAGTTAAAATTAAAATGCTCTCAGTCAAAGTTATTAAAGTGTTTTAGTTTTGTGAAGTTGGTTTGTGTTTCACTAACAGTACCAGTTAAGAGGAGAAGGCTTAAAGACATAGTTGTATGTTTTTGAATCTCACTGTCATTGGATCTCAATTGTGTAGATTGATGCACATGATGTCAGTCACTGGATTGTCCGTTTCAGACTCAATTATATACAGGTTGTTGGGGGGCACGGGTGGCCAGGTCGTCTAAGACGCTGCAATTCGCTGTGCAGAGTTGCGTCCCTTTGGCACCCCAGAAGCCTTTGGTTGTGGGCTGGAATCCCAGTTCGCCCTGATTAAGTTTTCTAGGTTTGTCAGCACCATACCTGTGCTCGTGGAATATTGCTGAGTATGGGGTTAAACAACAAACATCAGAGAATATTATAAGATATGTATATTTCTTTGACATTCATGTATCAATGAGTGATATGCATGAAAAGAGCTATGACTCGCACCATATGTTTTCAGCAAATGAGAAGATCTGGCAACAAGGAGGAGAACAAACGTATCATCATGGACCTGGATGTTGTGTTGAAGAGTCACGACTGTCCCTACATTGTCCAGTGTCTAGGAACATTCATCACCTCGGTGAGTCTTCCAGCACTGTCCTGGCAGGTCTCCACAACCTCGTGGGTTTTTTAATACCTTTGGGGCGGTCGGGTAGCCTAGTGGTTAAAGCGTTCGCTCGTCACGCCGAAGACCCGGGTTCGATTCCCGACATGGGTACAATGTGTGAAGCCCATTTCTGGTGTCCCTCCTCCGTGATATTGCTCGAATATTGCTAAAAGCGACGTAAAACCATACTCACTCCCTCACTCATTTTAAGACCTTGACATCTCAATAAGTTGACATTAACCAAGTGTAATTTCTAACCCTCTCCCAAGGCTTGCAAGAAACTTTTGAACGTGGGTTTCAAATGTCAAAAACCTGCATAACTTCAGACTTTTCTTACAGTCCAATAGGAATGGGACGAGTCCAAATTTACTACCCGGGTATCCGACCCCCTATTACCCGAACCTAACTGGGTACACACTGCAGGTCTCAAGAGTTGGGAGTTGTCTGATTGGGAATTGTTTTACCGCAGCCCTGGCCAAAACTGTTTAGATACATGTATCAAATGATCAGATCATGCGTTCACGAAGTTGACCGAAGCGTTATCTTTACTCAAACATATGCAAGTCAAAAAGGAATGTGTGTATCGTCAGAAAGAGATGCAAACATAAGCAACATGTAGTGTCACACTGAGCTATAGTGAGTTTTTGTCTTTAAACAATATGTCACATGACTAACCACGGGTCCGGGTAGTCCTGTGGGTACCCGGGTCCTATTCAGGACCCAACCAACCTGAGTACCCGAGTTACCCGTCCCAGCCCTTCAATCTTAGCTGAAATGCTTTGACATGCCTGAATACTGTTCACAGCTGCGATAAGACAAGCTCACTCGTGTGATTAATTTGTAGCAGACTGCTGTTAAAGGTCAAGGTCACTTGAGATTACGTTAATGAGATCGCCTTAATAAGTTATTATCATCAGTTATGATATAGAATTAGTTATGTCTATTTTTGTTTTCAGAGCGAAGTATGGATCTGTATGGAGCTTATGTCCACCTGTCTAGATAAACTGTTAAAACGAACAAGGAAATCAATTCCAGAAAAAATCCTGGGGAAAATGGCAGTGGCAGTGAGTAACTTGACAAACATTACATCACCTCATGCTGATTCATACCTTTTGCTTATCTCATCTCAATTCCGAAAGTTAGATTCAATTCCCGACATGGGTACAATGTGTGAAGCCCATTTCTGGTGTTCCCCGCTGTGATATTGCTGGAATATTGCTAAAAGTGGCGTAAAACCATACTCACTCACTCTGAAAGGTAGTGGAAACTACCTGAACTGTGTTCCCAGAGAATAAAAAACAGTCCACCCGAACGCAGCCCTGAGCCATGCATGGCTTGAATATTGCTAAAAGCGGCGTAAAACCCACTCATCCCCAAATCAGAATTATCCATTACCAACATTGTTAAATCAAGCTGATCATAATGATGTTTTACTTGTCTTTTAGAACATTATGTCTTTGCAAATGTTGACTGTTTTTGATACAGTAAGATATTTATAGTTTTGGTACTAATATTTGTTTTCTCTTTCCACAGATTGTCAGGGCATTACATTACTTAAAAGAAAATCATGGTGTGATACATAGAGGTAAGCATGGATGATGGACGGTTGCTATGTCTTTGAGTTCTACTTGATGTCTATTTATGTTTCTTTATCTGTTCATATTCTGGGGCGGTAGGGTAGCCTTGTGGTTAAAGTGTTTGCTCGTCATGCCGAAGACCCGTGTTTGATTCCCGTGGGAAGCACTGCCAGACAATCTTGGCCATCTATTAGATATTCCAGATTGTTCTTTTGTTCAGTTTACAAATTTTGAATCGAGAACTTTGTCAAAATATTTTTCAAAGCGTAGCCTGGAATGGATGTTTCCATTTTGAAATTAGTCCATGAAGGTCAAGAAAGCTGCTTTCTGATTGGCTGATTTCACTCCCTCTTAGTCATTTCGTTGGTTGGTCAAAGTTAGTGTGCGGTTGTTCCGACATGACCTGCAATGGGATGTCCTCACATCCTTGAGTCGTGATAGCAAGCACTTAGATCTGATTTGAATGAAATCCGAGGTATATACTGTATTGTTGCATTACCTGACGGAAAATAGAGCTGCTTCATCACTGTTCATTACTACACCTCTCATTGGCTGTTGGCCCTCTATTCACGGGTGATGGACGGAGAAAACAGGATATACAAATGTATAAAGTAAAGATGAATCAATTCTTGTCTTGAAGTTTAATTGTGTCGATTTTTTATTATTTCAGATGTGAAACCATCCAATATTCTGTTGGATGAGAATGGATCCGTGAAGTTGTGTGATTTCGGCATCAGTGGTAGACTGGTGGACTCGAAGGCCAAGACTCGCACAGCAGGCTGTGCTGCATATATGGCAGTGAGTTGGTTAGACATGAAGAAAGGGGCACTCATGTACAAGTTTCCTTTTTCATTGTGTTTGATAATCCTTTTTAACTTGTGAATCCCCAGGATTGTTTTGTGAATTATATTGTGCATTACGTGTGTTGATATGGTTATTACTGGCCATATGTTTGTCCAGTGAATATATTATTTCCCTCCAAGGCGGGATACATTGTATTTTATCAAGATCACATGGACCAATCAGATCTTATCATTCTGACATGACGGTATGATATAATAAATAAGGTCACAAGCTATATTTGTTAAAAAATTTGATTACCAAGTGTGATCTTTAGGCACCATATTTAGCCTCGTCATTGTGATTTCAACAGTGACACTGGGACTATGTTACAAGAAAATCCATCCTTGTATGAAGACAGAATACAATATTTTACCTTCAGTTCTGTGTGAAAAGTGGCCTTAGGTCTATTAACATGTAGTGCTGTGAGGCCACACTTTCTTTTTTATTTGCTTTACAGATTTTTACAGGATAAGACCTGTCGGTAGGTGGGGAAAAAAAGGGAATACATTTGTTTTTGTGGTTTTCTACTTCACTACGGGTTGGCTGGTATAAAAATGGTTTTATGTATGAGAAGAGCCTGCCACACAGCTGTTGATTTAAGCAATGCAAACCTGACGAATCAAGCGGGAATAAAGTTGTGCATCTATGCATCCTATCAATTTCAGGAACGACTAAAAAACTTTCTTTTGATTCCCATGTTTAATATATGTCAATTTCAGTAGATTCTTTTCAGAAAATATTTTTTGGTTGCAATATGCCATCAGCTTAGTAGGGGGATGAAAAAAAGAGCAAATTCTGAATTAAATTTCTTTCCATTTCAACAAAATTTGCCTTTGCTGGATGCGTAGATCAATTAAAAAAAGAGTGTGGCCTAATGATACACTCATAACAATACCCGTGGAGAATGTGACGCCAGCACCCTACTGCTTGTCAGAGAGTGACTACATTGGGAACCTGTGTGAATTTTGGGTAACAATAGGTCCCTTGCAACATATGCTGGTCGTAAGAGGCGACCTTATTGATCGGGTGGTCAGGCTCGGTAACATGATTTATGGCGTGTCATCGTACCTCAAACATTGTCAACAGTGTGGATCGTTGCTCATAGTATCAATCACTGGATTGTCTGGCCCAACCTTGATCGTTTACATACCACCATCCTATAGCCGGAATATAGAAGACCTATGTTGCCAGGGTGAAGTAGCCATTAGTGTTCTCAGAGTTCTCAATATTAGGCTTTAAAAAAATAAAAGAATTAGTTCTCAGGCAATGACTTTTGAAAATATAGTGCGGGCGGGTGATGTTTTTGTTTTTATTTGCTTCAAACTAGTATGTCACCAGATAAACAGTTGTGTACCGTCAACCTGGGAAAGGGCCTATCTACATAAACAAGCATACAAACTCCTATTGCAACCATGACCATTACAGGACATGTTCAGTACATTGGTGCACATGTAAAGGGAAGTAACTGTGTGCTCCATTGGATCGCATTGCTTCTAAGTATTAGAATTTTTTTATTTTTGGGGGGTGAATGGAAATAAAAACTAAACTTGCGGCAGACTTTAGGATGATGTGGGCGGTGCCTGAGAACCAAGATTATTATTATTTTTAGCCTTATATGTACATGTTTATGTTTTTCTTTTTCAGCCTGAGAGAATTGACCCACCAGATCCTGCCTGTCCTGATTATGATATTCGAGCTGATGTCTGGAGCCTGGGAATATCACTGGTAATTTGAAGAACCAGTTTCTTGAATGTTGCTAGAAAATCAGTGTTGTCTATAATTTGAATCAGTTATCCCCCGTGTCATGCTTTTGTGAGAATTCAGGAACTGGAATTTTTGTCACATTTTGTTGGTGTGTATGTGATTTGGATGGTATAAAACTGAAACACATACCTACAGTGACCTAAACAATTTCTCTTTTGATTTTCTCAAAATAGGGCAAAACCTCTTTTTTTAATGTTTTTTGTTTTTTCTGTAGAGAATATTGACATTGACAGTGTAATGTTGTACTTTTATATATCTACAAAATTGGATATTTTGCTTTGATAAGGGAATTTCCAGTGATATTTTTCAATATATTTCCAAGTAACATTGCAAACTTCACATTTCAAGAACAGTTGTTCTGTTGTTTCAACTTAGGTTTTTACAAAAGTCAATATATCTTATGAATGATCAGACCAGAGCCCATGTGCGTTCTGTCTAATGATATGTCACTGCTTCTGGGTCAATGAATAAGATGGAAATCTTCCCATTATTGTGGGTGGCCTAGTGGTTAAAGTGTTTGCTCGTCACGCCGAAGACCCGGGTTCGAATCCCTGCATGGGTACAATGTGTGAAGGCCATTTCTGGCGTCCCCCGCAGTGATATTGCTGGAATATTGTTAAAAGTGGCGTAAAACCATACTCATTCACTCACTCACTTGTACACGGTCTTCCAGGTGGAGCTTGCGACAGGGGAGTTCCCGTACAAAGACTGTAAGACAGATTTTGAAGTTCTCACCAAGGTCCTGCAAGAGGACCCGCCTCTCCTCCCACCCGGAGAGAGTTTCTCACTCGACTTCTGCTCCTTTGTCCGAGACTGGTCAGTTTTCTATGTGTTTTTGATAGGCATTTAGTTATCATTATGATCCGGGTTAGAATAGGTCTTCGGCAACTCAGGCTTTTTGGTGAGAGGCGACTAACGAGATCGGGTGGGTGGTCAGGCTTGCTGACTTGGCTGATGCATGTCATCGTATCCCAACTGGGTAGATATTAATGGATCACTGGATTGTCTGGTCCAGACCTGATTACTTGCAGACAGACATCATATTGCTGGAATCTTGCTGAGTGTGGATTTAAAATTTTAAAAAACAAAATGTCAGGCATTTTGAGATTATTGTTCCTGTTCCATGTCTACATACTGGGGCAAGAACACCTGCCAGTTAGGTTTGTCAAACTTCTGCAACGCAGTGAAAATAATAGTGATACAATGAATACACGTTATGATTTAATTTATTGACATGTCAATTATATCTAACCATGCTAACTGGTAAAATGTTCATGCAGCTGATTTTTTTTTTCAATTTTCCAGTTTGACGAAAGATTACAAGAAAAGGCCAAAGTATAAGAAGTTATTGGTAAGTTCATGCTGCAGCCCTTGATTATCATGATTATTACCTTTAATTTGGATTGCATGGGGAACATGCAGAAGAGAGTTTATGGTTGGTGGTTCGATCCCGAGCTGCATCATACCAAAAGACATTTTAAGATGGTACTTGCTGTTATACTGCTTTGCGCTCAGCATTGAGGGAATAAGACATGGATTGGCTGGCCAGGAGTTTGTATGCTGTGTCTGAGTGGGGTATTCATGTTAAACTGTACCATGGTATCTCTGTGGGATAAAACAAGCATTAGTGTGGATTAGTACAATCAGTGTTCCCGCCGGCTTGTGAAACTACCAGTCCTTGTGAACTGGCAACTCTAAAAATTACCAGTCCCCCTTATTTTTGCCAGTCCCAACTTTCAACAAATAAAAAATATCTTGAATGTGACGTTAAGCCTCACCATTTCACCTCACCTAACAAACAACAAAATGCCAATTAATATTCTGGGTAGAACAGAAGCCAGATTGCATTTTGAGATTTGAAAAATACTTTGTTGATACATTATGTCTTAGGAAGGCTTTAGTGATAAGATTATTGTGAATGCATGCCAACTATTGCATAATGGTGTGGTATTGCTGTCGCATTCTTGACAACAGTGTTACCATGCAGGATGGTGTGATATTGTCATATTATTGCTGACAACAGTGTTACCATGCAGGATGGTGTGATATAGTCATATCATTGCTGACAACAGTGTTACCATGCAGGATGGTGTGATATTGTCATATCATTGCTGACAACAGTGTTACCATGCAGGATGGTGTGATATTGTCATGTCATTGCTGACAACAGTGTTACCATGCAGGATGGTGTGATATAGTCATATCATTGCTAACAACAGTGTTACCATGCAGGATGGTGTGATATTGTCATGTCATTGCTGACAACAGTGTTACCATGCAGGATGGTGTGAAATTGTCATGTCATTGCTGAAAACAGTGTTGCCATGCAGGATGGTGTGATATAGTCATGTCATTGCTGACAACATTGTTACCATGCAGGATGGTGTGATATAGTCATGTCATTGCTGACAACATTGTTACCATGCAGGATGGTGTGATATTGTCATATCATTGCTGACAACAGTGTTACCATGCAGGATGGTGTGATATAGTCATATCATTGCTGACAACAGTGTTACCATGCAGGATGGTGTGATATAGTCATATCATTGCTAACAACAGTGTTACCATGCAGGATGGTGTGATATTGTCATATCATTGCTGACAACAGTGTTACCATGCAGGATGGTGTGATATTGTCATATCATTGCTGACAACAGTGTTACCATGCAGGATGGTGTGATATAGTCATATCATTGCTGACAACAGTGTTACCATGCAGGATGGTGTGATATTGTCATGTCATTGCTAACAACAGTGTTACCATGCAGGATGGTGTGATATTGTCATATCATTGCTGACAACAGTGTTACCATGCAGGATGGTGTGATATTGTCATGTCATTGCTGACAACAGTGTTACCATGCAGGATGGTGTGATATAGTCATATCATTGCTGACAACAGTGTTACCATGCAGGATGGTGTGATATTGTCATGTCATTGCTGACAACAGTGTTACACTGTGAGATGGTGCGACATGGCTGTAACATTGCTGACAACAGCATTATACTGTGAGATTGTGCAATATAGCTGTAACATTGCTGACAGCAGTGTTACACTGTAGGATGGTGTTATATAGTCGTAACCATTGCTGAAAACAGCATTACACTGTGAGATCATGCGGTATGGCAGTAACATTGATGACACAGTTTTAGAGTATGAGATGATGCGGTATAGTTGTATCATTACTGAAAACAGCGTTACACTGTAGGATGGTGTGTTATAGTCATATGATTGCTGACAACAGCGTTACACTGTCGGATTGTGCAATATAGCTGTAACATTGCTGACAACAGCATTACACTGTAGGATGGTGTTATATAGTCGTAACCATTGCTGAAAACAGCATGACACTGTGGGATCGTGCGGTATGGCAGTAACATTGATGACACAGTTTTAGAGTATGAGATGATGCGGTATAGTTGTATCATTACTGAAAACAGCGTTACGCTGTAGGATGGTGTGATATAGTCATATGATTGCTGACAACAGCGTTACACTGTCGGATTGTGCAATATAGCTGTAACATTGCTGACAACAGCATTACACTGTAGGATGGTGTTATATAGTCGTAACCATTGCTGAAAACAGCATTACACTGTGAGATCGTGCGATATGGCAGTAACATTGATAACACAGTGTTACACTGTAGGATGGTGCAGTGTAGCTCTGACCGGTGGTACATTGTTGACTGTGACAATAAGAAATGTTTTGTGGCACCTTCAACCAATGAAAGTATCTTGTATGAGTATGTTTATCAAAAGTCTTCTACTGCTGGGGCGGTGGTGTAGCCTAGTGGTTAAAGCTTTCACTCGTCACGCCGCAGGCCCGGGTTCGAATCTCCACATGGGTACAATGTGTGAAGCCCATTTCTGATGTCCCCTACTGTGATCTTGTTGGAATATTGCTAAAAGCGGCGTAAATCCATACTCACTCACTCACATTTCTACCACTAGAATTTTGAATGTTTTGTTTGATCCCCAGGAGCATCCATTCATCAAGAGATACGAGAAGGAACATGTAGACGTAGCATCGTGGTACATAGGAATATCTAAACTCATTGAGACGAAGGCGTCATGACACCTGTGTCGGGTGAGTCTGAAGGATAGACACAATTGATATACATCGTTAGCATGCTAGGAATCACTCAGTTTAGATATGCAAACATGGATCTCTTCAAATGTCATAGTGTCAGTATGGAATTTTGACATCATGAATTGACCAATGTATCCATGCATAGAATATGTACACCTGGTGATTTTCCAGATGTTACCAATTGCCATAATTTGAGGTTAGCATTTCATAGTTTGCAGGGATGTGAAATCTCCACGGAAACGTGGAAAATCACATCTTTTAAAACAGTCAATCTCATTAAAATCAGATTAGTTTTCGGTACCGCTAAACAAAGATCTGAGGACATCCCATTACAGGTCACGTCATAACGACCTTTAGCAAATTTTGACCGACCAATGAAGTGACTGACAAGAAATCGACAGTAGCCAATCAGAAGGCAGCTTTCTTGAGCTTTACGACACTAGTTTCAAACTGGTGACTACGCTTCGACACATATTTTGACGTATTCTCGATTAAACAAAATAAAACTGATAAGAACATTCTGGAATGGCTTATATATGGCCTAGATTGTATGGATATAATCATGATACCCGTAACTGTCGTTCGGAATACCCCATGTTAAATATTTCGTGGTTGCATGATAAGAAAACACATTCCGACTGTCACTTTCATGATCTGGTAAGCGACGCTCTGATTGGTTGGATGAAAGGTCGTTCTGACGTGCCCCTTAATGGGATGTCCTCAGATCTTTGTTGAGCATAGCGAGAACTAAGATCTGATTTTAATGAGATTGTAAAACAGTAGTCCTAGGGAAAATATCATCCTCTGTATAAAAATTTAATCAAAGATTTTAAAAAAATCCTTCGCAAAATATTATCGTGTTTTCGGACAAACGTCGCGGATTGTCCTGTTTTCGATCAGAGCTTTCAGCATCATATGTTTGCCTTTATTATTATTCATGACACAATACTGTTTTCATCGGATCATAGGTTTTCGGACATCATATGTTTTCTATCATGAATACTTGCACTTTAACGTTTGAATGCATGATTCCACAATGTATCAATGCATAGAGAATTTACACTTGACGATTGTCCGGATATCACTGATTGACACTATTCCTGGTTGGCGACTCAGTATGAATTTACTATTCACTAATGTAACTAGTCACCTAACGGGACAAAATCCGCTGTGCAGAGTACCCTGGGGCAAACCCATGCTTGCTGTAAGAGGCTTGCTGACTTGGTTGATGCATGTCATCATATCCCAGTTGCGTAGATTGATGCTCATGATGTCATTCGCTGGATTGTCTGGTCCAGACTAGATTATTTACAGAACGTTGTCATATGTCTGGAATTTTCCTGAGTGCAGTGAACACAAAGACAACAGCAATACAGTATCCTGCTACATATTTCTGGCGGTGGGATAGCCTTACATTTAAAGTGTTCACTCGGATTCAATTCCCCACATGGGTACAATGTGTGAAGCTTGTTTCTGATGTTCCCTCTCTTTATATTGCTGACGGGGGCACGGGTGGCCCAGTCGTCTAAGGTGCCGCGATTCGCTGTGCAGAGTTGCGTCCCTTGGGCAAGCCAGAAACCTATGATTGTGGGTTCGAATCCCGGTTCGCCCCGATTATGTTTCTAGGTTTGTCAGCACCATACCCGTGCTTGTGGGTTTCACTGAAGTGGTATACGTCTGAGACCTGCATCACTTGGGGCTTTCCTCCCACATTAAGCTGACACGCCGTGATTTGACTGGAATACTGTTAAAAGTGGCGTTAAACCCAACTCACTCACTCACTTATATTGCTGAAATATTGCCAAAAGCGGCTTAAAACACTACTAACATTATATGTTGTCTTGCAGTTCTCAAATGATACGGTCGGCTGCAGATGTCTGTGACGACCACCTCCCGACGTCCACCGTCTAGTTAGACCGCCAACAGCGGCCTGTCAGACGGGCGGTGAAGACAGTCGGTGTACCTGTACCATCATCAGACCTGGCTCAGAACTATACGCGTTGTAACCTGTGCTGAGTGGGGGAGCGTGAGGAGGGTAGACTGAGTGAGTGAGTGAGAGATTGTCGGAGCAATTTAACATGTGGATGAATGAGAGAAACCACCTCAATTGTATGTCCAAGCCCATTTCACTCGATCTGATACATAAGTAGATTGAACTGGTTTGTAACGGATACGACTGAACTGGAACCGGTTTTGCTGCTTTTCGGGTGTTGCTGTTGGTTACTTCAGCATTAAACTGGTTTGTACTGACTGTTACCAGTTGGTAATCCTGGAGGCACAAGCTGTGAGTGTTTGATACTGAAGTGGGACAGAAAGATGAACGTAAGATGTACAGCTATAACGATAGCATCACACTGCATTTGCATCTTCAAAAACATTTTTCAAAAGGATTTTTTTGTTTCTTTTATACAACCAGCCATGTCTTGGGGCACAAAACCTGACAATCTTCATATCAAACAAAAAACAAACATCGGATTTGCCCTAAGTAGTGAGATTTTAGATATTTAATACAATAGCACAGAAATTTATTAAACTAAACATGGGACACCATAGACTTGGAGGCAGATATTCAGCCCCAAATCTGCCCCGAGTCTGCCCAAAGTCTGCAGCAAATGTAAGTAAGTAAAAAGGAACTTTTTAAAATATCTGAGTTTGGCGCATTTAGTTTGACAAGATAAATCCCTGACAGCTGTCCACTATTTACAATTTCAGTCATGATGGAGACTTGTTGGAAACAATTCCACCTTGTCATACTGAAGGGCTTGCTTCATCTTCAGTGATATTATAATGTGCTGATAGGTCTGATGGTTACCTGCATCAACAGAAACACTCGTGGGGATCGGGGCGGTCGGGTAGCCTAGTGGTTAAAGCGTTCGCTCGTCACGCCGAAGACCCGGGTTCGATTCCCGACATGGGTACAATGTGTGAAGCCCATTTCTGGTGTCCCCCGCCGTGATATTGCTGGAATATTGCTAAAAGCGGCGTAAAACTATACTCACTCACTCACTCACTCGTGGGGATCATGAGAACAGGGAAACGCAAGGTCCATCACATGTGTGAAGCAAATACTATTCCTGTTGAAACACCACTGTCATCATATTGTAACAGTTGCTCTGATATCACTTAACATTTCATATATATACTGGTAATGAATATTACCAAAGAGACATTCTACCTTCTGTAGGTGAAAACAGTGAAGGTTTCTTTTCGGCAGGAATTTCACATGATGATACTTTGGAAAGTCTGATTTCAAATTACCAGCCCTCGATTTACATTAATAGTTTACCAACCAATCACCATCTACATGAGGGACATGGGGGTTTGCTACAGTGTTTTAACCTAGAGACCCCCTATTCGCGAACAGTCAACATTGGGGTTATGACATGAACCCCTCAATTGCTCTTCGATCACTGCCGATGGATGAATGAAAACCTGTGAATGCTGGTATACAAACTTTAGATGTGGTCAAAGTCAGTTGTGGCATTACCTGACACAAGTTCAACACAAACAACATAACATTGTCAGCTGTTTCTGTTAGGGCTGGGACGAGTCCTGATTTACTACCCGGGTTCCCACCCCCTACTACCCAACCCCTACTACCCAACCCTACCCGGGTACCCGCTGTAGGCCTCAAGAGATAGGTACAAAATGTCCGATTGGGAATTTCTTTACCATAACCCTGGCAAAACGTATTGAGACACATGTATTAAACAATCTGGTCATGCATACATTGAAGTTTAAGTTCATATCTTTATTCAACCATATGAAAAGTCAGATGGAATGGGTGCATAATTTTTGTCATTAAACAATATATCACGTGACTAACCACGGGTCCGGGTAGTTCTGTGGGTACCCGGGTCCTACTCAGTACCCACCCGACACAGTTACCCGTCCCAGTCCTAGTTTCTGTGAATGGATGCTGTCTGCATTCCATGGTAGGAGAGGATACCTCAGGCTTAATGCAAACGTCAACTACGGTAAGATGAATGACCCTTGATGATCCAGTGAAGAGATAAAGAACATTATTCTTAGTGTGGGTCTTATTAGAGGCCCAGAATACTCACGATCTGAAGGGGCGTCGGGTAGCCTAGTGGTTAAAGCGTTCGCTCGTCACACCGAAGACCCGAGTTCGATTCCCGACATGGGTACAATGTGTGAAACCCATTTCTGGTGTCGCCGGCCGTGATATTGCTGGAATATTGCTAAAAGCGGCGTAAAACCATACTCACTCACTCACTCACTCAGATCTGAAAACATGTTTGTTGACATTGTACAACACTAAAGTTGTCCGTCATTTTCTGAAGCACTCTCTCTACATGGACTACCAGTAAAAGACCTAATGTGGTGTTGACCCATATAACTTGCCCCTTACCATTGGAGATGCAGTATAGGAATCATTGACTCAGCATGTCAAGTTCCTAATATTGTATGGTGTTTTGTATCAAGACCAAACTCTCAAAATATGTGTGGGCGGTGGGGTAGCCTAGTGGTTACAGCATTCGCTCGTCACGCTGAAGACCCGGGTTCCGATTCCCTACATGGGTACAATGTGTGAAGCCCATTTTCTGGTGTCCCCTGCCGTGATATTGCTGGAATATTGCTAAAAGCGGCGTAGAACCACTGACTCTCTGTACTGTAACTGATTGTTTGATGGCTAAGTGTCTGAATGGTATGTTGATCTCACTGAAGATCTCCACAAATTTGGAACCTATTGGTGTCCCAGTTTTGCTGAACAAAATGTCCATCACATGTTGATAATGTCACAGAGAAGCCCGTTTCCTTAGTTTGTTGATCACAGATGTTCGTTACATACACACCAGGCCAAAACAGACCAATTCATCTTAATGCATTTAGAGTGAACTTTAGCATTGTGAGAGAAGCGGAGTGGATCTCCGGTTGTGTGACATGTTGAGTGTACATACTTGTGTATAGGCTGGGAATGTTTGTGAGTGCAAGTGGACACACAGTAGACCTATTGTCATATACGTTGCTGTATGATTAAATTGATATCAAAAGTGGCATTGGCTTTGTTCTTTATTAAGGAGGGGTGGTGGGGTAGCCAGGGGGTTAGTGATCACACGTCATGCTGATGATGGCTTGGGTTCGATGCTGCGATGTGCGACACCTATTTTTTGTGTCCCCCGTTTGTGTTTGTTTGTTGTTTAACACCACACTCCGCAAAATTGCAGCTATATGATGGCGGTCTGTAAATAATTCAGTCCGGATCAGACAATCCAGTGATTGACATCATTAGTATCGATCCACGCATTTGGGATACGATGACACGTATCAACCGAGTCGGCGAACCTGACTGCCCGATCCCCTTAGTCGCCTCTTACAACAAGTCGCCTGTTACGGCAAGCATGAGTTAATGAAGACCTATTCTCTACCCGGATCTTCGCGGGTCTTGTCATAAGAGGCGACTAGCGGGATCGGGTGGTCGGGCTCACTGACTTGGTTGATGCATGTCATCGTATCCCAGTTGCGTGGATAAATGCTCAAAATGTCAATCACTGGATTGTCTGGTACGGGCTCGATTATTTACAGACCACCGTCATATAGCTGGAATATTGCTGAATGCGGCGTTAAACAACAAACAATCAAAACATGTACATGATTCAATAACGATTCATAATACCAGTGTGTTTAGTGCTGAATGCTCAATGACACATGTGGTCTCGGTTTTTGACAACAAACAAACAAACAAAATTCATGAGCTTGAGGCTGCTGGTGACCAATTCTATCCTGGCATCCCCATGGGAGAAGTACCTCAAAGAGTCGGAGAAGAGGCTTCTCGCGTCAGCCCGAGTGGGTGAGTACAGTTTTACATTGCTTTTAGCAACATTCTGGCAATATCAGACCGCCTCCGTGGTCTTGTGGTAGAGCGTCCGCCCGGAGAGCGGAAGGTCCAGGGTTCGATCCCGGGCCGCGTCATAGAAAAAGACGTTAAAAGATTGTACTTGTTGTTACCCTGTCTGGCGCTCGGCATTAAGGGGCTAAAACAAGGACTGGTCGGCTCGGAGTCAGTATACTGTGTCTGAGTGAGGTATTCATGTTAAACAGCGGCATGGTATCTCAGTGAGCTAGCACTATAAATCGGCATCAGTCCGGACTAGTACAAGCAGCCACACACACACATACACGTGCATGCACGTCGCTATATAAGTGCAATAATCTTGGACGCGACGTTAAACCCAATTTCACCTCACCTCTGGCAATATCATGACGGGGAATACCAGAAGTTGTCTTCACTCTTCATCCAGGCGGGGAGTTGAACCCAGACTTGCAGCATGACAAGTGAACACTTTAACCACATGGCCAACCCACCGCTCAGACAGAAGCATGTTTATTGAAAAAATAGGATTCAATTGCGTATGTGATTGAATAACAAAGTGATGATTCGGTGTGTACAATACAAATTTAATAATAAACTGCTTGGCTTGACAACAGAACTGCCAATAATTTAAAACACAAAAACAGAAAAAATACATATTAAAATATTACAAAGGCCAACAATATGGTTTATGAATACAATTTTTTTATTACAAACTGTAGAGTCAACAGTAATCTCAGAAACCCATTGTGAAAAGTTCAAAATGAAATCTCACTGATGGAAAGTACAATGTAGCAAAGGTGCTCTCTGGAAGAATGATGGGTTCAATATGGATGTGTTGTCAACAGTTGTGGTTTGTTTGTTGTCTAACTCCGTACTGGCAATATTCCATCTATATGACGGCAGTCTGTAAATACCAGTAATCAAATCTGGACCAGACGATCCAGTGATTGATATCATGGGCATGGATATACAATGACATGCATCAACCAAGTCAGTGAGCCTGACCACCCGATCCTGTCAGTCGCCTCTCAGCCAATCTGGACCAGACAATTGGGTTACAAAGACATGCATCAACCATGTCAGCGAGCCTGACCACCGATCCTGTTGGTCGCCTCTTACGCCAAGCATGGGTTGCTGAAGACCTATCCTAACCCGGATCTTCACTGGTCCATACAGTTGTAATGATAACAGTTGTAAACATAGCCAGGTGCCCAGGAACCAATGTGACTACTTACCTATCTGGGTGAGGATATCTTACAGAAAATACCTAATCAATAAGTTCTTCAATAAGCATGTCATACAGAAACAAACACTCTCAGGTGAATTGTCTGTTGTGTTAAATACCATGGACCTGTGAAGATCCGGGTTAGAGTAGGTCTTCAGCAGCCGATGCTTGCTGTAAAAGGTGACTGCTTGTCGTAATAGGCGATTAACAGGATTGGGTGATCAGGCTCACTCACCGACTTGGTTAATGCATGTCATCGTATCCCAATCGCGTGGATAATGCCCATGTTATCAATCACTGGATCGTCTGGTCTGGACTTGATTATTTACAGATCACCGTCCTGTAGCTGGAATATTGCTAAGTGTGGGGGTTACACACTAAAACAAACATCATTTCCGTGCTCGAGGAATACTGAACTACAGTAGTGATAGAGATTAAGAATAGATTCCGAGAGTATCCAATCATGGGTTCCCAGACAACCAGGATCTGGTCAAATAGGGTTTCACTGTAGGTGCATCACTTTACTTCCAACCAGTGAAGAACCGGGGTAGAATAGGTCTTCAGCAACCCATGCTTGCCGTAAAAGGTGACCAACGGGATCGGGTGGTCAGGCTCGCTGACTTGGTTGATGCATGTCATCGATCCCAAGTGCCTAGATCGATAATCATGATATTAATCACTGGGTTGTCTGGTCCAGACTCGATTATTTACAGACCGCCATCATATAGCTGGAATATTGCTGAGTGCCTCGTTAAACAACAAAGCAAGTAACCAACTTTACTTCCAGAATGTAACAAGCACATTATTTCGGTTGTATACGTGTCGTCATCTCTGTATTACAGCGGCGTCATCTCTGTATTACAGCGGCCTGTAAATATTCAAATCTGACCAGACAAACCAGTGATTGATATTATGAGCCACATCCCATGCAGTCGGGGTATGGTGACACAGTTGACCAAATCATGAAAAATGAACACCAGATCCATTAAATAGTTCCTCCTCTCGTGGTCTACTGGTAGAGAGTCCGCCTGGAGAGCGGAAAGTCTGGGGTCCCAGCCGCGTCATACCAAAAGACGTTAAAACTTAATAAAAGATGGTACTTTTTGTCACCCTGTCTGGCGCTCGGCATAAGGGACTAAAACAAGGACTAGTTGGCTCGGAGTCTGTATACTGTGTCTGAGTGGGATATTCATGTTAAACTGCGGCATGGTATTTCAGTGTGCTAGCACTATAAATTGGCATCAGTCCGGACTAGTACAAACAGCCACACACATGCATGCACGTCGTTATATAAGTGCAATAATCTTGGATGCCACAGTAAACCCCATTTCACCTCACCTCCACTAACTACATGGTCTTTCAACATAAGAGTATGATGTTGGGCAGCAGATAAAACACAGAATCCCAAAGGGGGCAATCATTTCGATTTGATGAATTCAACAATGATCATGATGATGGCGCTAATAAACTAAACTATTTTTGCAACGAAGAATTTTTCAAAAGAACTCTTCAAATAGATAGACCACAACAACATATTAATTAAGTATATATGTGACAGAGCAATCTAAAATGACCTATGACCTCATTGTAATTACTGACCAATCATGAACTGACCTTCCTATTTTATTTGCTTCGTTTGCAGATCTGCTGACCTAAAAAAGTCAGAACAAAAATATTAGAATGACAAGGATTTTTTTAAACCACCATGGAAAAGATTGCTCAGACATTAAAAATGACAATGACATGCCACGGTCAGATTTTAATTCATAATACTGTTTGTTTTTTATCACCTCAAAATTTAGATAATAAAACAATTCCTGTACAATGTATTTGAAAAAACAACAACTGACCAACTGACCAAACTTTCGCTATGAAAATCCGTTAACACCCCTCCCCTACAAAAACCAAAACAAAACAAACTTATTAAAAAATTAAATTTACTTGGAATCCATAAATATTAGTCAAAGTTCTTGTCATTATTTTGTGCATGTGCTCTTGTGTCAGCTTGGCACTGACAACTTTAACACAAATTGCATATGGTTGAAGAATCAACATTGATCAGCTTTATCGGGATACGCCAATACAAGCCTGTTACGTCTGCCTTACTTGACACTGAGTCGTTGGACAGGCAATTGACCTTCACCTCTTCTGGCAACAGACTTTTCGAATACCAAATGTGGTTGAATTACATCAAAAATTGTCAAAATTATCAAGCCAGCTTTAGACATCTCGTGAGATTTTTGACCAAATCTTTCCTAATTAATGACTTATTTGTCTGACCTGAATTTTAGCAATGCTTCAATTTTACAATAAACTGGAACTGAAAAAAGGTGATAGAAAATGTAAACACAGACCCGTGAAGAATAGGTCAGTAGATTAACAGGATCTGGTGGTCAGACTCGCTGACTTGGTTGATGCATGTCATCATATCCCAATTGCATAGATCGATGCTCATAATGTCAATCACAGGATTGTCTGTTCCAGACACGACTATTTGCAGACTGCCGTCATATAGCTGGAATATTTCTGAGTTCGGCTTTAAACAACAAATAAACAAAAACAGTAACACGTCTGTCTCATTCAATCAGGATGACAACTCTGAGGGCTAGTGAAAGAAGGTTCACATTAGTCCTCTGGAAATGTCTTTAAAAAATGAATTTCCAGGCAGAACAAGGTGAAAAATTACAAAATAAAGAAACAAAAAAGATGTTTAAATTCACAAAATCAATGAATGTATTAATGGCCATCATTTGATGTCGTCCATGACATGAAGGACGAAGGTATCTGAAGACAGGAGATGCTCAGGATACACTTTTATAAACTGTTTGATTGGCATTTTAAGAGGTTGATGAATAAACTAAAGGCATCATTGGCTCCAAATCGAAAAAATTTCGCTTCAGGGTGCTCCATGTGACCTAAGGAGTCGTCCTGCAAAGTCTGAGACTCCTACGATGATTTGACATTTTTGGTCGAAAATGCGCCTAAGTCCAACCCCTGGCACTCAAATGCGACTCGGATGTGAAAGATGTCGCAGCGCATTGAAACTTTGCATGCAAGCAAGAGTGACAACGGTATAAGCATCTATACCACACATTGCATCGTAATAAAATAAAGAAGTTGTCATCCCCAAAATATCTTATCTTTACTGTAAACTTTTATAACTTTTCGTTTTTCTGATTCTACCGATGCAAGTGAAAAGTTCCAATTAGGAATTATTATATAACTAGTTATATTTGTGTTTTTTGTCTAGCCACTCTATCCTTGATATTGTAAGCCATAAAATAACTAAGTGGCAGTGGAAAACTGTGAACTCTGCTTCAAGCATCCTCATCTATCCAGGGTATCATATCATTTCATTTATCACTGTTATTATACTGTGCAGATTCATACAGTATGCACATTGGGTTTTAGATTCAAACCTCGAAGAAACAAAAAAACTCCACATTCAATCCTTTAAATGATGAATGCCTAGGCCTGTGTAATGGCCCCAAAGTGTACTGCAACAAAACTGAGATACTGCGATGCATATTGCGATATACTGGGTGCTATGGTGTTTGACAATGAGTGATACTGATTGTACATGTAGATCCTGTAATTATGTCAAAGGCAGCTGGGTAGATGCAGCCAATGTGTAGTCATGGATACAGGGGAGAAGAGAAATGTCACTTCACCCTTCCCCTGTTTTGTCAATCGATTTGAAGGGAAAAAAAACTTTGGCCAACTTCATTGAATTTTACGCCAAAAGTTTTGTAACACAACTAATATAAAACAAAAAGGCACTTGGAGTATGTTTAACATTATCACAGCAACCCCCTAAAATCGCTGGAATTCTACCTGCTCTTGATACCTTGAAAACCAGAGAAACAGATCGTGGCTACCGTGCTGGTGTCAATTTGCATCCCTGGGCCCCGTTCCACAAAGCAATCATAGCGCTAAGAAGATTGTAGCTCTCATACTTTAACATAGAATTACAACAGTCGTAGCACTCAAGTGATCGTAACTCCTAACTTTAACATAGACTTACGACAGCTGCAGCACTAAGGTGACCGTAACTCCCATACTTTAACATAGACGTACGACAGTCGTAGCACTAAGGTGATCATAACTCCCATACCTTAACATAGACATACGACAGTTGTAGCACTCAAGTGATCGTAACCCCCATACTTTAACATAGACGTACGACAGTCGTAGCACTAAGGTGATCATAACTCCCATACCTTAACATAGACATACGACAGTTGTAGCACTCAAGTGATCGTAACTCCCATACCTTAACATAGACTTACGACAGCCGCAGCACTAAAGTGACCGTAACTCCCATACTTTAACATAGACGTACGACAGCTGTAGAACTCAGGTGATCGTAACTCCCACACCTTAACATAGACGTACGACAGTCGTAGCACTATGGTGATCGTAAGTCCCATATTTTAACATAGACTTACGACAGCTGTAGCACTATGGTGATCGTAAGTCCCATATTTTAACATAGACTTACGACAGCTGTAGCACTATGGTGATCGTAAGTCCCATATTTTAACATAGACTTACGACAGTCTCAGCGCTAAGATTGCTTTGTGGAACGGGCCCTGGATAGGAAATAAGCATTAAAATTTGCACAGAATCTGAGACCAAACATCAACGCCTGAGAACCAAGGTTGTCAACTTACGCTCATAATAGTACTACCTTGACACACAAAGAATAGAAAAAAGTATATTGTAACATTGAGCTAAATCCCTGATAGTTCCTGGTGTACTGAGCAGGAGAATTACAACATCAACATAATCAACAGACAGACATAGACCTAAAAAAATAAAAATAAAATTTATATATGTCCTGAGCTTCCATTTATTGTTTTGGAAATATCTACATGACTGTGATGTCATTTTGATAAAGACAGAGTGATCTTTTCCCCCCAATGTATAGATCAGACATCTTTACTACTTCTTGATAATGTTTGATGTTTCCAACATTCTCAAGGACAAAAGGGTTAACGGACTGACATCAGCCGAATATGCATAACAGAGAATGCCATCTGTTCCTTATGGGTTTCAGGGGTATGGGTGGCCTAATCGTCTAAGGCACTACAATTTGCTGTGCAGAGTTTGGTCCCTTGGGCACGCCAGAAACCTATGATTGTGGGTTCGAATCCCGGTTCGCCTTGATTATGTTTCTAGGTTTGGCAGCACCATATCTGTGCTCGTGGGTTTCACCGAAGTGGTAAACGTCTGAGGCCTGCATCACTTCGGGCTTTCCTCCCACATTAATCTGACACGCCTTCATATAACTGGAATACTGTTAAAAGCGGCGTTAAACCCAACTCACTCACTCACTTAATTGGTTTCTGGGATTTATCTAGATCTCTTCAGGGGTTCATATTTGTTACCAAATCTGCAACAAATGACAGTAAAAATTCCCAATTTGAAATAATATTTCCCAATTCCTCAGAATTCACACAAAATAAGAACATTAAAAAAATCAGTTTCAACAATATCACAATATTTCCCCAATTCCCCTTCCAAAGGCACTCAGTTTGCAATCCTAGATAAATCCCTATATTCATCATACATTCAAGATGCGTGTCCATTCAAAATGGCGCTGAACCATTCCTGATGGTATTGTGTTGTTTATTTCAAAATATTTCACTGACGCCAGCAACTCTGGGGCTAATATTTTCATTCAACAAAGACTAGATTCAACTAATTAACAGCTGCCCTTAAAGTATGTTCATACTTTCTGGTGGGTTCATCAATTCATAACTGGGATATTGTTCATTCAAGATCATAATCCATCTATTGTAATCAATTTAATCTAGCGACCAGCCATTTAATCGATGGGTGGGGTAATGAGACCTGGGAGTTTTGTTCTAAGGGGATATTATTTGCGTCTAGAAATAGTTTTTCTGTGAAAGGAGCTCGATCATGTATTTTTCAAGACACCTTTTTTCAACGAACAATGGATCATATTATTTTGAAAAAAACAAGACAAAAAAAACAAGCCCTCCCCTGAGAATATCAAATGGACGGTCCCAAATCATGCTTCCAAGACTTATCGTTAATCCAGTTGATGATGGGAGGCTGTTCCATCCCTGTCACTTTAAAGACTTCGTCCGTCTGATCTTGTACTGACACACCTTGTTCTTCCCCGATACAAACATGGTGTCCTTCTTGTCAATGAGGAGACACAATGGCATCAAGAGGTGATCAGCCTCAGTGGAATAGCTCATCACCTGGTTGCCAGACCTGTTGAACACCAGGATCTGGGCCTGGTTCGTGTCACAGACATAGAACTTCCCAGCGTTATCACAAGCAGCATAGCCAGGGTACCACTCATCTGTCTCTCTACTGTTGGGGCGGAGTACCAGGAGACGTTTGAAGTTGGAGTCGACGACCACGACCGAACCTGCAGGGATGGAAATAAATTTCTTTTATCAAGTGTGCCACAATGAACTGCATCGATGTGAGGAGCAATAAAGTTCCTGATATGTGGGGGGCACAGGTGGCCCAGTCGTCTAAGGCGCCGCGATTCGCTGGGCAGAGTTGCGTCCCTTGGGCACGCCAGAAACCTATGATTGTGGGTTCGAATCCCGGTTCGCCCCGATTATGTTTCTAGGTTTGTCAGCACCATACTCGTGCTCGTGGGTTTCACTGAAGTGGTAAACGTCTGAGACCTGCATCACTTCGGGCTTTCCTCCCACATTAAGCTGACACGCCTTCATATAACTGGAATACTGTTAAAAGCGGTGTTAAACCAAACTCACTCACTCACTCCTGATATGTGACCTCATTTGCATATTTATCTGATTCATGGGATGGTTTAAAGTAAGGCTGGGACGAGTCCAAATTAACTATCCTGGTACCAAACCCCCTATTACCCGACCCTACCCGGGTACCCGCTCTAGGTCACAAGAGAGGGGTACAGATGTCTGATTCGGAAACATTTGACCGTACTCCTGTCAAAATATATTTAGATACACATATAATCCAATCTGGTCATGCATACACTGAAGTTGACTGAAGTTATATAATTATGCAAACATATAAAGTCAGAAGGATTGTGTGTATAGTCAGAAAGATATTAGTCACTTATTGTGTAACCATAGTGTTCTAAATATGTTTTGGCATTAAACAATATAATCACTATGGGTCCGGGTAGTCCTGTGGGTACCTGGGTCCTACTCAGTACCCACCCGACCCCAGTACCCGAGTTACCCGTCCCAGCCCTAGTTTAAAGCACTGTTAACACTATCAATAATGTGATAAGAGTTTTGGGCAGACTTAAAAAGTCTGTCAATATTGACATGGAGTTATTAGGTTTCCCTTCAGGCAAATAGCACCTGCCAAAAGTAGTGCATGAGAGTTTGCACATGATGAAATATGGATCACAACCAACAGCTTTCAAAATTGAGTGCCCTGTGGGATTGAAATGTGCAATAGGGAACTCAAGAGAAGTTCAGGTGTACCCTTTAGAATTTGTCCGCAAATTATCTGTGCACGTGGGTTTCACGAAAGTGCAAAATATTTTAGACCTGCATCACTTTGGGCTTTCCTGGCACATTAAACAGACATGCCTTGATATAACTGGAATACTGTTAAAAGCGGCACAAAAACAAACCTCACTCACTCACTCACTCATTCATTGGTATGGAAGCAGTGGAATCTTAGAGCCTGACCTGGTTGACCCCATGAGCTGTAGAGGTACCTCATGCCGAAATCCCGGGCAACAGCAAAGACTGGGGACCTTGCAGGACACTGGAATTCATAGACGTGCTCCCCGCTCACTCTAATGACCCACTGCTTGTTGCCAGAGAGATTGCTGACAAGGAAAGATTCTTCATCATACCAACACAAAGGGTATGATGCATTCTCCTCCTCTTGGGCTGTCGAGGGCAACACAACCCTTGCTATTGTGACATACTGCTTTGTCACAACATATAGCACATTCTGGATTACAAATGCTATGACATCCTTGATAGAAGCGATTGAAGATGGCGATTTACCATTCTCAGAAAACTCCTTCACAAACAGAGTAGTGCCATCTTTGACCAAGGATTTGACTTTACTATTCCCTTGATCAGTCAGAATAATCCTGTCGTAACCAAAGAAAGCTAAACCTAAGATTTCCGTTTCTGAAGAATCTTTCTTCACCGACACCTTCAAGTCCGAAATCCATTGAAGACTAATGCTTGATGAATGGCTGTTCTGTTTGAATGGAACAACAGCAACCGACGCATGCTTCAGCACGTCACTGTAGGTTCGTACCCTTGGCTGTGGAGGAGACAACTGTAAGGCAGTAGATGGAGAAACAGCAGCAGCAGCAGCAGCAGCAGCAGCAGCACCTTCAGATGGTTTCACAGTTGGAGGATCCAGAATTTTGTACTGCTGTAAAGTCTTCTTAAGCCTTGCAGTTTGGTCCTCAGGACTTGCTGTAACTGTGTGTGACTGCAAAGGTTGAAACAAGAACGACGAACTGACTGATAGGTATTTCTTCGCTGGGGTCATTGATCCGTTCATCACTAATTCAGGAGAATTCCTGGGAATATCTGTTGGAAGACTTGCATATGATGCTGCTGCTGATACTGTATTTGAGAAGGAAACATCTTGTACACAATTACTCATGCCAGGTGGAGGTCTGTGTTCATTAAATCGGTCCTTCACGACAAAGACTGACCTACTCAGAACATCATGCGCCCTTGGATCCACATTCCAGGAAATCTGCACATCAAGAGGGATGGTTTTGTGCTGAAGTCTCTTGTAGACATCCTGGACCTGCAACATTCCCTGCTTCAGGGTCTCTGTGAGGAGCAGGAGTTCAGCTCCACTTCTCTCTTGCACAATAACATTGGTGGTGTCAACCATCTTCCTGGCCGATCTGCCTGCATTGTCCACCTCCACTTTCAGAGTAGCAACCTCATTCAACATGTCCGTATAAGCCTTGTGTATCTGGGCAACCACCAAGTCTTTCTGCGCAATCACGTTTTGTATGATTTCCTCAGCTTTGATTTCAATCTCATTGACTGCATTCTGTTGTTCCTCTTGAATCTTCCCTTGATCAGTCAGCACCTTCTTCCAAAGGACACCAAGGTTTTCCAGAAGCTCCTGACTCTCTTGGACTATGTAATGGACAACCTCCTCCGCATCAGCTGAGCCGTCTTCCAGGCTGGACAGGTCATGGTCCCTGTGGACAATCAGAGCACACTGGACACAGATAGGTTTGCTGCAGGACTTGCAATAGATGGAACACTCCTTGTCCCTGTGTTCAACACAGTACAGGTGCTTCCTCTTGATGATCTCATCATCATACTTCCCACAAGCTACATCCTCAAGGGGCACAACTCTGTGGTTCACTGTTGTCCTGGAGGCAAGATGGCCGGCAGAGCAGTTGCTGCAGAGACTGTCACCACAGTCAAGGCACTGATGACTTGCCGAGTTGCTGAATCCTCGTAATTTACACACAGAGCAGTTGTCGATTGAAAAAGCGTCAACCAGGCCATTCACAAAGAAATTGTCTTGGAGGGACTCTGGGTTTTTGTCTGCGATTCTGACCGGTCTTTGACATTCTGGACAGAGGATGGAATCAGATTGAGATCGCTCTATGAGCTTTGCAATGCACCCCTTGCAGTAGGTATGGAGACACGGACTTAAGATCTTTGGCGAGTCAAAGATATTCAAACATATCTTGCAGGTTAAGAAATCTTCTCGCAGACTTTGTGAAACTGAGACACATGCCATATTTTGTGTACTGGTTGCTACGTTATCTTCATAGTTTCGGATGGAGGGCACATATCTGAAATTAAAACATACACTTTTACACGACAAATCCTTGTTAGCGCCTACTTTTACAGTGAATTAAAAACATGGTTTTGTGAGTGAGTGGGTGAGTGAACGAGTTGGATTTACCACCTCTTTGAACAATATTTCAGTCATATGACAGCGTGTCAGCTTGTTTCGGGAACAGTACGATGTGATGCAGGTCTTAGATGTTTCCAACTTTAGTGAAACCCATGAGCATGAGTATGGTGCTGACAAACCTGGAAGCATGGTTGGTTGGTTGGTTTGTTGTTTAACGCCGCTCTCAGCAATATTCCAGCTATATCATGTCGGTCTGTAAATAATCGAGTCTGGACCAGACAATCCAGTGATCAATATCATGAGCATCAACCCACGCAATTGGGATTGATGACCGTGCATCAACCAAGTCAGCAAGCGTGACCACGCGATCCCGTTAGTCGCCTTTTACGACAAGCATAGTCGCCTTTTACGACAAGCATAGTCGCCTTTTAGGGCAAGCATGGGTTGCTGAAGACCTATTCTACCCCGGAATCTTCACAGGATGACAAACCTGGAAGCATAAGCAGGCTGATCTTGAATTCAAACCCACAATCACAGGTTTTTTGCCTGCCAAGTGACACACTTTTGCACAGCGAATTGCAACACGTTTGACAGTACGGTTTATTTACAGATATGAAAGTAGAACCTCATTCAATATGAAAGTAGGGTGAATGTTGAGTGTTCAGGACAGTCAGGAGTACAAGGCCTATATATATAACCACATACAGGAAGGGATTTACCAGCTCAGAGGCTGAAGTTCAGCTGACCCAAGTCTCACACAAAAGTCAGTAGTCAATATTGGGATAAAATCATTCCCAATTCATGTTCGTGTAGTTATTATTACTGTTATGGCTTTATAAACGTGACCTGTATTCCACTGATAACAGGACAAGTAAGAAGTTAAAGAGGAAAGATCCTAGAATACTCCGCAACTCGCCACACATGACCAAATCATTGTTCTGATCTATATACTCTAAGGCAAAGAAACTGGTCATAAAGAATATTGTTTGTTTGTTGTTTAACACCGCTCTCAGCAATATTAAAACTATTTGACGGCAGTCCATAAATAGTCAAGTCTGCACCAGACAATCCAGTGATTGACAACATGAGAATTGATCTATGTAATTGGGATACGATGACATGCAGGAACCAAGTCAGGGAGTCTGACCACCCGATCCCGTTAGTCCCCTATTGCAACAAGCATGGGTTTGCTGAAGATCAATTCTAACCCGTACCTTCACGGCTCTAAAAACTATTGATAACTGAAATTAATACAGATGATGTAGACTAACTATGACGTCACAGACTCAAAAAATCTTCAAACAAAAACAGGACTGACTTTTATTTATTCTTTCTTAACCGACACAATGGTAAAATGTGTATACCATTCTCGAAACGAAAAGATGGCAGCCAAAATACAATGCACAACCTGCATGTACTTGCTAAGAATTTATATACACCCTGCCAAGAAATAATTCATAACACACCAAAACTGTCTCTGAATAGTGGATAGAGCATCTGCTCGGAGAACTGAAGGTCTGTAGTTCCATCCCCAGCCACATCATACCAAAAAATGTTAAAAGATGGTACTTGTTGTTACCCTGCTTGGCATTCAGAATTTAGGGGATATAAGAAGGACTGGTCGGTTCAGAGTCAGTATCGTGTGTCTGAGTGGGGTATTCACATTGAGTGCTGCACACACCCCCACACACATGCACACATGTTGTAACGTAAGTGCATCAATCTTGAATGTGACATTAAACCACATTCGTATGCACTTGTAATGAATTCTTCACTGATTTGAAATTTCCTCGAAATTGTTACCATGGAAACGAAACCAAAAATATATTACATTCACACTTTCCAAATAGCAAGAGGAACAATTGTAGTGAGTGAGTGAGTGAGTGAGTGAGTTTGGTTAAACGCCGCTTTTAACAGTATTCCAGTTATATCACGGCGTGTCAGCTTCATGTGGGAGGAAAGCCCGAAGTGATGCAGGTCTCAGACGTTTACCACTTCGACGAGACCCACGAGCACGGGTATGGTGCTGACAAACCTAGAAACATAATCGGGGCGAACGGGGATTCGAACCCACAATCATAGGTTTCTGGCGTGCCCAAGGGACGCAACTCTGCACAGCGAATTGCGGCGCCTTAGACGACTGGGCCACCCGTGCCCCCAGGCACAATTTTAAGGATAGATTGATATCCGTACATAAATGCTTGGCAAGTATGTGTCCATGGATATGTGGTGTTTTGCAAGATATCTTACAAAACTTATGTCGACAGGTGTTTATGTGTTTGATGTTAAAAGACACAATAGGGTTTTACCTTGACTCACATAATACAATAATTAATTTTAAGGGTCCCTGCAGGCAATATGAAGGTCCTGTAAATTAACGAAATGGTGTAGTGGACTGTATACAGTAAACTACGGTTATAACGAACACGCTTATAACGAACTGACGGATATAACGAACTTACTTTTTGGTCCCGACTATTTGCTGTAGTTATGCTGTTTATATGCTTATAATGAACTACGGTTATAACGAACTAAAATTAGTAGTCCCTTTGAGTTCGTTATAACCGTAGTTTACTGTATTTTGATAACTACTTTAGAGCCTGGAATGAATTAACTGATCTCACCCAAGAGATATCTCCTGTGGAAGCCTCTTATCAAGGTGATCATTTTTGATTTTAGATAGGCCTAGATACAGATAGTGGATAATGAATGTGCAAAAATGTATCAAGGAAGCAGAGCTACAGATAAGCAGCATATTTGCGTAAACCCAATAACTTTCAATTAACTTGCGTACAGAAACGCATTCATTAAATGAAAAACTCAAATGTATAAAAACAGCACGCATAAATAACCAATGAAGCTTTTTCAGCTTGCGTACAAAGGAGCTAATTTCCAAACACAATTACGAAATAATTTACTTTCCAAGTCAAGCCTATATTTTTAGAACAGTTATATACATCTAAAACATGATTTCATTTGTTTGAAATCTTAAAATGTTTACTCTTTTGGGGGAAAAACCCATTAGATTGATGAATAGATGAGTGAAAAATTATTGGTTACCCAATGAAAAATGTAATACCGTATTCGACGTAAGAAGCGCCTTGCTCTATTAAGCCCCCATGGAGATATTTGCTCATGTATTGGCTAGTGAACAATCCCAATTAGCACCCTTTCCGATTGATCAATGTGCACAAGACTTATTTATTCATGTAAAAATATGCACTCGTTTGTTATATGCACCCTTAATCATGGCAATTAATTCTCGGAGATTTATCTATCGTCGTGAGATATATGCACCCTTAATTATGGGCAATTAATTCTCAGAGATATATCTATCGTGTATAATACACACAGATTCTTCTGATATATAATTTCAGGCTGTGAGCATAAACCACAAAATTTGCAATCTTTCAACTCGAATACGGTAACCCAATCAAAATAGAACCCCTAGAGTAAAAATTCAATTGCTCCAAAAGTTATCTGGAGATCTGAAGGAAGGTGTCACATGTTGCCTTGGCTCCTTCAGTCTGGTGATTAAACCTGTCTTATAGTCCTGCCACACATTCACAGTTCAATTCAAACATGATGGAGGATGTTTCCCTCTGACATTGAAACAAACACCATTGCCTGAGTTCCTGATACAAATTTTATGAAAATATTTGTGTCGGCTTTGTGAAGAGTGCAGTGAACAATTTAATAGCCATCACAGGGATATATATCTAGATCTACAACTAATCAGAGGCCGTTTTTCAGACCAAAGTCTGCAGCAAATGTCTGATGAGTGTAAAATTAAAAATATTCCCAATTCATGTTAATATATTCATAACTAATGAGATGACTTAGTCAATATGACTTTTATTTCACTGATAACAGGACCAATAAAGAATATGAGCCTTGAATGTTTATTTTTACATAATTGTATACAATTGTATAGATCTACATTATACAATGTTGTTTTTAAATGCCTCTGAAATTTAGAAAATAACTTTTAAAATAAATAGTTTAGAAAAAAAATAACAATATGTTCCGAATTTGCCACTTAATTCGGAATCCCAGATAAGTCTCTGCTTCACAACAAAAATGTGTCAGAGGTCATGTGACATCACACAATCGCAAGAGGTGTCAATAAGTTGAGAATGGCAAATATCCCATTTGGGGGAAACGTTTAAAGGGAGGTAACTCGTGACTGTGAGTTAGGGTGATGGCCGGTAAAGCAGTTGTTACAATCGGTTTTCAGCAAATAGGACATGCAAAAGACGACTTCCTATTAAAACCCATGCTACTGTTTACACACTGCACTTTTCCAGACAATTGCATTCACATTTACTCTCATTATTACTCGACGTGTCGAACTTGCAATAACGAAAGTAGGTTGGTATGGACAGAGTACGGTCGTACCTTGGTCCTTGGACGTGTACGTGGTGTCATATCCATATAATATGACATGACACGATGTGATGAACTGAAATTGTCACACTCATAGTCTGTATGTCTTTAACATGCACGAGTACGTTCAAATTAACCAAGTAAAGCCCAGTCAGACAGTTTAGATAATTTACCTTATAAACGCACAGAGAGGCACTTGTGGTTGTGCTTTGTCACGTGACAATGTCTCTTCCTGTTTTGATTGCGCAAGCTCGCTCATAACACTGCCACACAAGACTTTCAACAAAGACAAGAAAACCACAGAACATCGTGTATAGTAATCTACGGTGGCCCATAAGGGACATGGAGTCTGTTTTTCAATATTTTGATGTTTAACTTACTTTTATCTTAACCTTTTGCAAATTTACACAATCTGCCATACAAATATGCGATAAATCATGTATAAAAACATCCGAAAACATAGAAAATGTACTTTTAAGTAGCTTTTGAGTCCCTGAAATGTGAAGTGAAAATGTCAAAAACTAAAATGGAAATGTCAAAAACCAAAACGAAAAGGTCAATAACTAAAATGAAAATGTCAAAAACACAAAACGTCAAAAACTAAAATGAATACACAGAAAACTATTTCCACCGCGGTGTAAATAGTTTTCACCTCGGTGTAAATATTATCACCGCGGTGGAAATAGTTTTCACCTCGGTGTAAATATTATCACCGCGGTGGAAATAGTTTTCTGTATTTTCATTTTAGTTTTTGACATTTTCGTTTTGTGTTTTTGACATTTTCATTTTAGTTTTTGACATTTTCGTTTCGTTTTTCAGCGATTCAATATCTTCTTTACACATGATTTATCACATATTTGTAAGACAAATCGTGTTAATTTGCAAAAGGTTACGATAAATGTAAGTGAAATATCAAAATATGGAAAAACAGACTCCATGTCCCTTATGGGCCACCGTAGTAATCAGATATATCGGGTAATAATTTTTTGTTTTTGTTGATATCACAAATTAGCGATTTTATCATCATGAAATAATTATTGGTACTATTAAATATTATTTGATATCACAATTTCGATCTTCGATCGCAGCGAGTAGATTTCGAATTGTAATTTCTAAAAAGAATTTCAGTGATTTAAAAATCGAATTTTCTAAAATTACATCCGATTTCAACTTATCTAATAATCGTATTTCTAATATCAATACATGTATTTATTGATAAATCAAACTTTGTGATATCGATAATAAATTATTTATAGCACGAGAAAGGGAATATATTGTGTAAAACGGCGCTTTATATAAGACAAAAGATATATAACAAAATGATATTTTAACATGATAATAGTTACCCATTCATGCACGTGGATAATGCAATGTGCGTCATGCCCGGTTTACTTTTATTTGTGAGTGAGTGAGTGAGTGAGTGAGTTTTAATTAACGCCGCTTTAAAAGTATCTCAGTTTTATCACGGCGTGTCAGCTTAAAGTGGGAGGAAAACCCGAAGTGATGCAGGTCTCAGGTGTTAACTTTACCACTTTGGTGAAACCCACACGGGTATAGTGCTGACAAACCTAGAAACATTGTCGGGCAAAAGTAAATATGGGCAAAAGAAAGTATACCGTGTTTGCTGTTTATGTAATTGAAAATTGAACAATCTTGTTAAATTTAATTATTTCTATTTAACCATCACTCATTCCAGCAACAGTTTGTAAAAAGTAATCCGTAGGTAGGTAGTTTTGTGCAAAGATATTGGTTCAATCATTTTGTTTGTTTGTTTGTTTGTTGTTTAACGCCGCACCCAGCAATATTCCAGCTATATGACGGCGGTCTGTAAATAATCGAGTCTGGACCAGACAACCCTGTGATTTACATCATAAGCATCGATTCATGCAATTGGGATACGATGAGATGCAGCAACCAAGTCAGCGAACCTGATCCCCCGATCCCGTTAGGCGCCTCTTACGACAAGCATAGTCGCCTTTCACGGCAAGCATGGGTTGCTGAAGACCTATTCTACCCCGGATCTTCACGGGTCTGGTTCAATGAAAACTGGGATAAGAATTTTAATTAATCTCAACCAAGGGACCCCTACGATGTTTGAAATGTTGTAAATTTGTGCCGAAAAAAGCAAATGTATTGATTTCAAAGATAAGATCTTATTATGATACCCATCAGTAGTTGTGTATTACACTTATTCTTTTAAAGTTTTACAAAGTTTTAAAATAAAACCACGTACAGCAGAAGTATGCTTTGAGTGCTGACTAAGCACTATTAGAGTTCATGTTTTGGTTATAATATCGCTTATATAAGGTATTTTAAACTCAATATTAAACATATGATAAAATCAACTGAGAGGTGAATGTTTCTCGAGAACATCGCAAAAGTGAAGAGGAAGTAGGATTTTTAATAAAAAATTAATATTTTAAAAATATATTCCCTCCAAGAATACCAACAAACATGTGCATTGAGCTCAGCTCTTAATACACTGACAGCCCCCAAGCATGTCATTTATTGAAATGCCCGTGAAGATCCTAGGTAGAATAGGTTTTCAGCAACCCATGCTTGCCGTAAAAGGCGACTAACGGGATCGGGGGGTCAGGCTCGCTGACTTTGTTGATGCATGTCATCGTATCCCAGTTGCGTGGATCAATGCTCATGACACGAGTCACTGGATTGTCTTGCGCAGGCTCGATTATTTACAGACCGCCGTCATATAGCTGGAATATTGCTGAGTGCGTCGTTAAACAACAAACACACATTTATTGAAGTACGCTTCAAGTGACGAAATTTGTTTTTTATTGGTAACAGTGACTCACAGCCAGGACTCGCCGATACCCCAGAAACATTTTATTTTAGTCCATATATGTGTGTTCTTTGTGAAGTGAACACGTGATTTCACTAGGTGAGCGAGTATGGTTTAACGCCGCTGCTAGTAATATCACGTCGGGGACACCGGAAAATGGGCTTCAATCATTGTATTATACCCATGTGGAGAATCGAACCTGAGTCTTTGGTGTGACCAGCCAACGCTTCAACCACTAGACTACCCCACCACCCCCTCACTAATCGAGCTGAGAATGACATGCGTCGTCAGTCATGATAGGAATTGATTGATGACGAAACCCCTTTCTGCTGTCCCAACTATTGTTAGCATTATATGAAGATTTGAGCACAACGTCTTACTCTTCTGAAAAGCAAATATCTCGATATATGTGTTTGAAAGACCCGAAGAACTTGTTTTCAGGGTTTAACTGATTTGTGTGATAAGGTCTCATTATATTTGTATGTTTTTTTAAGTCTTAGCAGGGAATATGCATCATACGTTATCATCCATTGTTTCACTTACTCTATAACCAATAGCAAAACTGGAAATCTCGCTGAAACGGCGGCGTCAAGTGACAAAAATGATGCCAGATTCCATCCTCTATTTTGTAATATACCATACATTCCCTTGGTATTTGTTTTCATATGTACAATTGACTTGCATTTGCATGTGTTTGTGACGGGTGCCACTGGTGGGGCAGGATACACTCAACTGTTCACGAACACCTGGTATTATCACTATTTGATGGTGATTCATGGACGCTTGCGCGTGATATTGTCGGAATCGTACAATGGACTCTTCTTTTGGTAAAGATCTCTTATGATCATAGAAATCGTTATTGTCGTATTTATTATCCCCCGCCACGAAGTGGAAGGGGGATATAGGAATGGGTGCCGTCCGTCCTTCCGTCCGTCCGTCCGTCCTTCCGTCCGTCCGTCCGTCACATTTCGTTTCCGGAGCAGATCTGGAAAACCGTACCATATTTCTTCACCAAACTTGGCACCTAGATAGATCTAGTGGTAAACTGGTGCCTTTTGATAGTTTGGGATTTAAAAAAAGTATATTTTTCGAGTTTCCATGGCAACGACTTTCATTTAGACTGAAAATGGCGGTAGTCCTCGTTTCCGGAGCAGATCTTGAAAACCGTACCATATTTCTTCACCAAACTTGGCACATAGATAGATCTAGTGGTGAACTGGTGCCTTTTGATAGTTTGGGATTTTAAAAAAAGTTATTTTTCGAGTTTCCATGGCTCCGACTTTGATTTAGACAGAATATGGCGGTAGTGCTCGTTTCCGGAGCAGATCTTGAAAACCGTACCATATTTCTTCACCAAACTTGGCACATAGATAGATCTAGTGGTAAACTGGTGCCTTTTGATAGTTTGGGATTTTAAAAAAAGTTATTTTTCGAGTTTCCATGGCTCCGACTTTGATTTAGACAGAATATGGCGGTAGTGCTCGTTTCCGGAGCAGATCTTGAAAACCGTACCATATTTCTTCACCAAACTTGGCACATAGATAGATCTAGTGGTAAACTGGTGCCTTTTGATAGTTTGGGATTTAAAAAAAATAATTTTTTCGAGTTTCCATGGCACCGACTTTGATTTAGAGTGAAAATGGCGGTAGTCCTCGTTTCCGGAGCAGATCTTGAAAACGGTACCATTTTTCTTCACCCTATTTTGCACATTGATAGGTCTAGTTTGGTTTTTTTTTAAAAGTTATTTTTCGAGTTTCCATGGCAACGACTTTGATTAAGACTGAAAATGGATGTAGTCCTCGTTTCCGAAACAGATCTTGAAAAACGTACTATATTTCTTTACAAAAAGGCCCAGTGAACATAGTTCACAGGAGCTAATGCATTGCACACACCCGACATGTCATATTGGCGGGGGATGTGAGTATTTCATGCTTGTTTAACATGTGTTAATGGTCACAGCCACTGCAGGGAGTTAAGAAATCAAATGCAGATAAAAAGTAAATCTGCTTACACTGTGCTTAAAAACATGTCAAATACAAACTCGCTTTCAACATTAGCTCTCCCTCGTTTGTATGTTTACCCATTGTCTGTCTAAATTTGATTGGACCCGTGAAGATTCCGGGGTAGAATAGGTCTTCAGCAACCCATGCTTGCCGTAAAAGGTGTCTATGCTTGTCGTTAAAGGCGACTAACGGGATCGGGTGGTCAGGCTCGCTGACTTGGTTGATGCATGTCATCGAACCCAATTGCGTGGATCGATGCTCATGATATTAATCACTGGATTGTCTGGTCCAGACTCGATAATTTACAGACCGCCGTCATATAGCTGGAATATTGCTGAGTGCGGCGTTAAACAACCAACCAACCAAATTTGATTTCATAGTTTCTCGGGCTTTTTTTCCAAGGAGTCTTATGTGTACTCGAAGTGACTGAGTGAGTTTATAGCTGTTGTGAAAAGCATTTCAGCTCTATTACGTCGACGGCGAGTCAGCTTAATGTGGGAGGAAAGCCCTAAATGTTATACCCACGTGCATGGTGCCAACTTAGACTGCAAGTATTTTGAACATAAACATGATAAACGTTGCCCTTATTGTGACTGAATTAATATGAACAATATTTGAATTTTTTGAAAATATTTTTAAAGGACAAGGAACAAGTAAAACAGACTTTCTTTATTAAAAAGGACAAAACACAAATATGAAACATACAAAAGAGGTACACCTCAAACAAGTGGAGAGTTATAAAAAAAAATGAAGACGTATATTTTGAAACTATTAGACACATAAAAATGTGTTTCATACTAGTTTAATTACACACTTCTTTCAAATACAAGTACGAGGACACACTTGAATTTAGTAGGCACTTTTTCCGAATGGCACATTGATATCTATTTATTGCTGAAATGATTTTCTTGCTATGCAATAGTTTCCAAAATCTATTTGTGAACTGTGCAATATGAAAAGTGAAGATGTGAACGTAAAATAAATCTGATTATGGATTGTAAATTTAGAAATGCCAAAGAAAAATCAGCCGAATTAGCTGCCGAAACAGATTCCAATTGGCGTAAAAGGGTTAATGACATTTACTTAAATAAGTAAACCAACGCCTATTCAGATCAACCCTCTGTGACTGCTTGATATTGCAGGAATAGTGGTGAAGAAAATATGGTAATATCGCCCCTCATGTCTTAGATCAGACAAAAAAAATAATGCGAACAGATAATACCGGAATACTAGTATTTCTTGGTTTACGGATTTTCATTTGACAATTCTGTCTATAGGTGGAAAAGGGTGATAATATATAAATGTCTAAATTTTTAGCCTCTTGTAGTCGAAGCTGAACCTTTTGTATGCACATTTCTGTGGTGAACACGAAGCCATTCGGTGGAATAAGAAAATAAGCTTTCCATAAGCCACACACTCCCGCTCTGGCACGCACGCACGCACGCACGCACGCACACGCACGCACGCACGCCCACAAGCCCACACGCACGCACACAAGCCCACACGCTATTTAAGACCATGCATGATTGTGCATCATTTGGGTGAGCCTGTACTGGGTATCAATGTCTAACTCAATCGGCCAACATTAAAAACGTGTTGGGTATGAGAACCCCCGCGAAGACGCCCCAGAGGAGGAGAAGTGTAATCGAAGTCTCCAGTTTGTGTCGGTGGAGGTTTTGCTTTAGGCCATATTCTGCAAACGTCTCTGAAAAAGTGGACACAATATATTTATCAATATGACTAAGTACCACCTAATTGTGTACATAAGCCTATCGCAAAAATAACCCTCATAACTCCCGTAAATCAACAAGGAGCAAACTGCACAATGTGATACGTTGAAGAATATAGTCAAAATACTCAAGGAAAATTTAGCAAATCACTGCACATGTTTAAATCCACTGAATACAAATCCCATAATCATTAGAGATTTTTGTAAGAGTATTTGCAAATGATTGAAGCGCTAATGTCGTCGAGTACTGTCGGGGGCAGCGAGTGAGTGGAATGTAGAGTTACCGCCCCTTGTTGTTTACAAACACGACCAGCTCGATGCCTCGACACACTATTCCGGAATCAGTGAGTGAGTATGGTTTTACGCCGCTTTCAGCAATATTCCAGAAATATTACGGCGGGGGCTTCACACTGACCCATGTCTTCGGTGTGACAAGCGAACGCTTCGACCGCTAGGCTACCCGACCGCCCCTATTCCGGATTCAAGATCAGCTAAGAACGGACTGTTTCAAGACTTTCGACAGTCACACAATTCTGAACATTCACTTCACATTAAGTCCAGGGCTGTTGCCACCTACTTGGACAATTGATTGTAATAACGACAACTTAGTGTTCCACACCAATTTAATGTTTATTCATTGATCTTGAGTGGTCAGTTATTGATTTTGTAATTTAGTTCTAGGTAATGATTTCTGCACTGACCTTTGCGTTTCAATTTGAAAAGCACCTCGTAACAATAATGAACTGATGACCAGTGGCCAAATATCAGCTGTACAGTATTATTTTACTTCAACAATGTGTCTGCTGTTGAGATTTGCTTCCATTGCATGTTCTGTTTGTATAGTGGATAACTATTTTGCGCTCATTTTTCCGAGGCAAGGGCGGTAACTGACTATAAAAGTCCAGTTTTCACCCTTGCCGAACTGGGCTGGAAATTTCCAGGCTCGATCGAAGCGCCCCCAGTGATTATTACGAGTTATGCCCCTTCTATGTTCCTCCTATTGGCCAATCAGATTCCATCTCTCATATCGCCTGCATTTACTTCAAACAAAATGTCGGCGCCCAGTCAAGACGATCTGATCGATAATCAAGATCTATATTGTAATAAAGCGGTTCTTACCCCGCGAAGTGCATCAATCGTTATTTTTTCATTTTGTTTGTTCGTGTGTGTGCGTGCGTGCGTGCGTTCGTGCGTGCGTGTAGATAAGATTATATTATTTAATTTAAGACTTTGAGCCTGCTTTTTTAAAAGAAAATAAAACCTTGCAACAATATATTTTTTTCTTACAGGCGATCTTTTAATTTTCAACAGTCTGACACCACCCCCATCCCACCCCCCACCCCCCCCACCCCACCCCAAATCTCTAAATCTAAAGAAGATAGCTGTACGCACTTTTTGATTTTGACACAGACGATGACAGCAGTGATGATGAGTATCCCAAGACCTACAGCGAAGCTCGCCGCTATGATTATTTTTTGTGGTTCTGTTAAGATCTCTGGAAACAAACGAGTATTTTACGTAATTAATTACCTGACTAATTAATTTCATTTATGTTAATACCTATGTTTCAACATGAACAAATTATTTCTTAAAGGAAATAATTGACAAAGGAGAAATTGGTGGCAGGAGATTGCTGTCTCCTGGGATTTTCTATCTCTACATTCTTCACTCATTAACGGACCCGTGAAGATCCGGGGTAGAATAGGTCTTCAGCAACCCATGCTTGCCGTAAAAGGCGACTATGCTTGTCGTAAAAGGCGACTAACGGGATCGGGTGGTCAGGCTCGCTGACTTGGTTGATGCATGTCATCGTATCTCAATTGCGTGGATCGATGCTCATGATATTAATCACTGGATTGTCTGGTCCAGACTCGATTATTTACAGACCGCCGTCATATGGCTGGAATATTGCTGAGTGCGGCGTAAAACAACAAACCAACCAACCAAATCACTCATTAACGTGTATTCGTTTGTTGTTTTAGTCCGTCGTCAGCAATATTCCAACTATATCATCCAACTATTCCAACTAATCGAGTCTGTGCCAGACGAATCGGTGGTTAATGGTATGACAACGATCCACACTTTCGGGGTACGATGATATGCAATCAAGCAAACCACCGAACACGACCACCCGATCCAATTTAGTCACATTTTAGGGGCGGTCGGGTAGCCTAGTGGTTAAAGCGTTTGCTCGTCACGCCGAAGACCCGGGTTCGATTCCCGACATGGGTACAATGTGTGAAGCCCATTTATGGTGTCCCCCGCCGTGATATTGCTTGAATATTGCTAAAAGCGGCGTAAAACCATACTCACTCACTTGTCACATTTTACGACAAGCCGTTGTTCCTGGGGACCAATAATAAATATGAGTGTCTGTTTTACTTACCGCTGGATCGGGTGGTCAGACTCGCTGACTTGGTTGATGCATGTCATCGATCCCAATTGCGTGGATCGATGCTCATGATGTCAATCACTGGGTTGTCTGGTCCAGACTCGATTATTTTTAGACCGCCGTCATATAGCTGGAATATTGCTGAGTGCGGCGTTAAACAACAAACCAACCAACCAACCAACTTACCGCTGATGGGATTGACTGTTGTGGGTGTAGGTGCGGATTTGGTTGTAGCTGTACTTGTCAATGACGTCTGTGATGCCGTTGTTGCAGTTGGCGTTGTAGTAGTTGGTGTAGTAGTGGTAGTTGTTGATGTAGTAATGGAAGTTGGTGTATTAGTGGTTGTTGCAGATGTTGTAGTTGGTGCGGTGGTCGTTGTTGGTGTAGTCGTGGTTGTTGTAGTTGTGGTAGTTGTTGGTGTAGTCGTGGTTGTTGTAGTTGTGGTAGTAGTTGGTGTAGTAGTGGGTGTTGTAGTTGTGGTTGATGGTGTTGTGGTAGTTGGTGGTAGAGTCGTGGTTGTTGTGGTAGTAGTTGGTGTAGTAGTGGGTGTTGTAGTTGTCGGTGTAGTAGTAGTAGTAGTAGTTGTAGTAGTGGTAGTTGTTGGTGTAGTCGTGGTTGATGGTGTAGTGGTAGTTGGTGGTGTAGCCGTGGTTGTTGTGTTAGTAGTTGGTGTAGTAGTGGGTGTTGTAGTTGTAGCCGTGGTAGTTGTTGGTGTAGTCGTTGTTGTTACTGTCGTAGTTGTGGTAGATTGTGACACAAAATTGCGACAAGTGTCACAACACCTTCCAATGTAGTCGGAACCGGAAGGGATGCAGTTGCTTTCAGTGCATGGGTCACTCAACGTGTTGTCGCCATAGGGACAGTCTGCAACATAATCAAGCAGCGTTGAAACCTTCAAATATGTAGTTATATTGATGATCATAGTCTCGAGCATGTACGTCTTCTGATTAACATTACCGGAACACACCACTTTGTTCTCCCTTGTCTTTGACCGGGCATTACCTAACTGAATTCAGTTCAATCTCATTGAAATCAGATCTTAGTTCTCGCTGCCGCTAAACATCTGAGGACATCCCATTACGGGTCACGTCAGACCGACCTTTCGCGAACTCTGACCGACCAATGGAATTACTGACAAGAAGTCGACATTAGCCAATCAGGAGATAGGTTTCTCGTGCTTTACGGCACTAATTTCAAATTGGCGACTACGCTTCGAAACATATTATGACAAATTCTCGCTTAAAAATTTGAAACCTGAACAAAAGAACATTCTGGAATGGCTAATGTATGGTCTAGATTGTATAGAATCAGTCGTTAAGCCAGTAACTATCGTTCGGAATACCCAGTTTGAAAGTTTTCGAGGCTGCATGATTAGAAATCACATTCATGATCTGGTAAGCGACGCTCTGCTTGGTCGGATGAAAGGTCGTTCTGATGTGAACCCTAATGGGATGTCCTCAGATCTTTGTTTAGCGGTAGAGAGAACTAATATCTGATTTTTATGAAATTGAATTCAGTTAAAACCACAAGGCAATGACGGAACTTCTCTTTTCCCCTACTAGTCCCTTGATGAAACATTTCATGAAAAAGCGTGTTTCCCCAGCGGGATTCGAACCCGCGAAATTTGCACCGAAGGCTTACGAAAGTTAAATGGAAGACACTTTATGAAATTAACAACTAATGTAGTTTATAGTTTATCCGTTTATGCACGGCGAAATATGTGTTTTATTCATTCTATGCATTGTAAGTAGTAGGTAGCATTTCGTTCGAAGAAACGAACAGATAGAAAATAAATTACTCTTATCGTGATCAGGGCCATGTTGCTTACAATAGGCCCTTCAACATGGGCAAATCATGGTTAGGTTATTGATAATTAAGTGTGCTCAAGTTGATGCTATATGAATTGTATACGTGCCCCTGGACATGCATTCCATCGGCTCAGGGAGCACATTCACGTGCAGTGCTCTCACACATTCGTCACCACTCGCGCCTTTCCGTAACCCCGCTATTCGGCTTGTTCCGGAATAACACGAGTTGGTCACATATGTGCTCTCACAGTGAACCAAAGAGTTCTTTTAAAATACGGTTATCAAAACAACGTTGTTTAAACAGTTAAGTGCTAGGGTACTTTGAATGCTGGCCATGCTTATTCCCTTATACCACGAATTGTATACTCCTCAGGAATCTGAGAATGCAGTGCGAGTGCACGCTGATCCAAAAACCAGGGTAATAATATTATGTAGCGCCCAGGCCATTCTCTTGGTAAATTTACGTTGTCGCATTAAGGTGGACTAATTATGATTAATATTTTTTAACAAATTATATTAGTGATATAGATGCAGCTTTCGTAACCTACAATCTGGTCAAGAGTGAGTGAGTGAGTGAGTGAGTGAGTGAGTGAGTTGGGTTTAACGCCACTTTTAACAGTATAACAGTTATATCGCGGCGTGTCAGCTTAATGTGGGAGGAAAGCCCGAAGTGATGCAGGTCTCAGACGTTTACCACTTCGACGAGACCCACGAGCACGGGTATGGTGCAGACAAACCTATATCTGGTCAAGAAGAAATGTAAGTATCATCAGATGAATATAGCATACTTTTACTGTAATTATTACAATATTATTTCATTAATAATAGATATATTTATGTTGGTCGAACGACCATTATCATTCTTGCCTAAGGGAATCGTAGAAATGATAAACTAACATGATATTATTTCACATACTTCAGACTTAAAACTTCGATTTAGTGTTAAAAAAGTTACTTGAATTGAATTGACAACTTGAATGGTTGACTATAACTCATTCGAAACCCAAACCAGACAATCCCCATAATCTGTACGTACCTCCTCCTGACGAATAGGATAGGCAAGTCTCACAACAGCCATGGGCAACGTCTTCCTTGTAACATAGGTATTTCGTTGCCGACGTTACAGCCCTACAGTCAGAATAACGATCACCATATGTGCAGTTTTCTGGAAAAAAGATAACGCAAAAATCAAAATAGGGAATAAATACAAACTTTGTGTTAAAGGAATGAAACTTTGCAAATAAAAATGTAGGTCGAATATGCTAAGTGATTTACCATCATATGTACAGCCACCAACTGAATCCAATATGGCTGCCATAACCATTTATAGAAAAGTACAGCTGTTAATAAATCAGTTGTATTATAATGATAGCTTACACATGATCCATTCTGAATAGTTCATAACATAAAGCAGTTTAAGTGTGATATGATTTAAGTTTCTCGAGACCTTAAAGTAGCGACTAAAATGATAATATAGGATATTATGGAAAGTGGTTCACAGTATGTAATAATACCTATCATGTTTTAAAAGCAGTGAAATGTATCTATCATAATAACATATAGCTCCATATAACAAGTATTCATAAAACAGTGAGTGAGTATGGTTTTACGCCGCCTTTAGCAATATTCCAGCAATATCACGGCGGGGGACACCAGAAATGGGCTTCACACATTATACCCATGTCAGGAATCGAACCCGGGTCATTGGCGTGACGAGCAAACGCTTTGACCACAAGGCTACACGACCCACCCTATAGTACGTAGATAAGGGTTTGATAAGGAAGAGTTATCAGCTAAGAGTAAACGAATAGTATAACCCAGGTCCCCTTGACATCCGCAGCTACCGCTGAAGGTGCCACACTCTCCCCTGAAATCCAGATCAAAACCCAAACCACCTTTCAATAAACGTTTTGTCAAATTAACTGGATATATGCAAAATTTATAACAACGACGTGACGTATTAATAGACTGACCAATCACCAACAGTCATATCTGTATCAATCTCATTAAAATCAGATCTTAGTTCTCGCTACCGCTAAACAAAGATCTGAGGACATCCCATTACGGGTCACGTCAGACCGACCTTTCGCGAACTTTGACCGACTAATGGAATGACCAATCAGAAGGCAGCTTTCTCGTACTTTACGGCACTAATTTCAAATTGGCGACTACGCTTCGAAACATATTTTGACAAATTCTCGATTACAAATTTGAAACCTGAACAAAAGAACATTCTGGAATAGCTAATAGATGGTCTAGATTGTATGGATACAGTCGTTAAACACATAACTATCGTTCGGAGTTAAAGTTTTCGAGGCTGCATGATTAGAAATCCCATTCCCACTGTCACTTTCATAATCTGGTAAGCGATGCTCTGATTGGTCGGATGAAAGGTCGTTCTGACGTGACCCGTAATGGGATGTCCTCAGATCTTTGTTCAGCGGTAGCGAGAACTGAGGTCTGATTTTAATGAGATTGTATCTGTACTTACCAACAGGCGACGAGTACGCTGAACAAGTTTCACAACAGCCGTTGGCATTCCTTTCATTGTAGCACAGGTTTCTCTTGTCCTTGGTGACAGCAGTGCAGTCAGAATAGCGATCGCCATATGTGCAATTTACTGGTATATACATAATAATGAAATGAGTAAGGAAAAAATGTTAAAAACATGTCCGGGGTATCGTTGCCCTAGACTTCAATCACTATGAGTTACCCTGTAACTAGAGGAGTGTAGAAAATCTTACGATCTACATGGGCTCGTACACCAGAATACAGAGTGAGTGAGTGAGTTTTGATTTACGCTGGTTTAGCAATTATATTCTAGCAATATCACGGCGGGGGACACCAGAAATGGGCTTCCGCGTGACGAGCGAACGCTTTAACCACACACTTATTCACTTATCCACTCACTTTGAACCAACATGATCATGATTAATAGGCATTTCATGCTTGCCGCAAAAGGCGACCATGCTTGTGTAAGTAGCGACTAACGCGATCGGGTGGCCAGGCCCGCTTACTTGGTTGAAGCATGTCATCGAATCCCAATTGCGTGGATCGATGTTCATGATAACAATCGCTTGACTGTCTGGTCCAGACTCGATTATTTACAGACCGCCGTCATATAGCTGGAATATTGCTGAGTGCGGCGTTAAACAACAAACCAAACCAAACCGAACCTTGGTCTATCAGCACCACAGTAGTCATGACAATCGTTCCCTACTCTGTAACTAAATGTTAGGTAATTTCTCAAACATAAAGCCGTGAGATAACAGAAATAACGTTCAAAACGGCGTAAAACGTATTCCCCTCTCTACCTGTACTCACGAATTACTTACGGTGACATATAAATGACGTAGTGGAATTTAGATAGAGTTTCATTCCTCAAACCGCACCAATACCATCATTCCATTTTTGTTAATTTAATTGGATATATGTAACATTTAAACCAACGACGAGACGTATTAATAGACCATTAATCAGAAACAGTCATTTATCATCCAAAACTGGCTCCCACAGGAGATATCGCTTGGTTAAGATCAAGCGATATCTACACTGTAGATATCGCTGCAATGAAATTGCATCACAATACTTTGCAGGCCAC